TATATATATATATAGTGTTTCCGGATAGCAAACTCCTGTTTATAAGTAATATTCCGTCTCTCATATTGGCACTGTATGTAATAGTAGACTTTCCAGATTAAATAAAATAAATTTATTCCAAAAATTCATTGGATTTTCGATTTTTTTTACAAATGATAGAAAGTTTATCATGGCTGTGAGAAAAAAGAGAACAGTTCTATCCGCATTAGAAGTTAAAATAATTAAATTTTATTTATTTAAATGTAAAACTTAACTCCCTTTAAATATGATTTTTTGTAATTTTCTGAAGTTACCTAAGAAATAAAGAAATCTAGGAGCAGTCCTTATAATATTTGACTTATTTATATTTTATCCTAATTGAAAGTTTGTTAATTTTCAGAGTTACGATTTTACTTTTTACGCTATATCTTGTGACTCATGGACAGTTAGTAGAAGACAGACAACGTAAGTACTTTATATCATTAAAATAATATTTTGTTTTAAAAAGTTGACACGAATTTATAGATCATGCATTAATAAATTTAGTATACACTAGTTCACAATTAAAGGAGCACAAAATGTTTATTACTATCATTTAAACATGAATTATTTTTCAAAGGATTAGAAAAAGATAGTATAAAACGACTGAACCATGAAAAAATAATACAAAAGAAGGGTTTAACTCACTTACGATCCATAAGAAAAGAAAGAAAAAACAGTTTGAAAGAAAATAGTGCAAACTAATAATTTATAATTAAAAGAAAAAAAAATGAAAAGGATATTTGGAAGTTTAATAAGATGTACCTCAGGTAGCCGTGTATGCTGATCAACGCCATATGCACTATGAGAGCGTGAACTAGTTGTATCCTCGAGAATTACGATGAACTCTTTTCAATTCTAGTTAGCAATGACGGCTGCTGTTTGCTTACCTGACGATTAAAATCACTGAGCTGTATATTTTCACTTTCAAGAAAATCGTTGATCAAGATCAAACGGTGTCATCCATGAATATGAATCTAAGACTGTCCTCTTCCGTAACTCAACGAACAGAAAAGAATTAGGTGACAGAATTCATCTGCAAAAACTAATAAACTTATTTAGCTGTGTTCGGAAATATATTTGATTACCACGCTGTCTTAGAGTTTTACTTTTAAGAAGTTAAAAGAAAATACAGTATTTAAACCGCCATTCTCAAAGGGAGTTTTCCCTTTGTTATGGAGGGTAATGAAAAATTAGAAGGTTTGATTTCTGATTTTTCAAAGTGACAACGATTCCGCTTTTGCAGTTATATAAATAGTGATAGCTTGTCATCATATTTTCTATAGTGATACTTCTCAAAAGCACATTAATTATTCAAAAATTTAATAGGATATCAGTGCTTTTCGAAACCAGATAAAATGGTGATTGATCTGGGGAATGGAAGTGATATTAACTGCTTCCCTGATTATCCCGAGTTAACCCGGGTACGTATATATACCAAATATTTACCATCCCGAGAAAACTCGGGCTTAGCAGAATTAGCCAGTAGATTTTGTTTTATCACGTTTTTACTCGGTCGGAAGCGGAAAAAAAAAATATCTGCTGTAATTGGAAGTTTGCCAAGTTTAATTTGGGAGTTTTGCTGTTGGACTGTGGGACTGCACACGTGTTTTGTGCAATTGAATATACGATGGTTGCTGAATTTACATAGCAATAAGGTTAAAAAAAGAATTGCGCATTCCTCTGCTGACGTTTGAAAAGTATTACTTTGTGTGTGTTGTTACAAACTATTACAAAGACTAAACTTTTTTCATTTGCTCAAGATAACTCGGGATAGTAAACTGATTTTAAATTAAATGTTTCTTACACATAAAAAAAAAAACAAATTTCAACTTAAAAATTTCACATTATGTTTTGGTTTCTTGAATTTATTAATAAAGTAAAAAAATCTGTTGATTTTTTGCATTTTTCTTCAAAATAATTGCTGAGGGAGGTGGTTAATTTTGATTTCCATGTATTTTAAGTGGTATGTATTTTAAGTAGTACATGTAGTCCTTTCTTTTTTTAAGATCATTATCCGTTAACTATGGAAAGGTATATAAAAATGACAGTTAAAACATCTACTGAACGTATTCATGTACACTGAAGAGCCAAAAAAACTGGTATACCTGCCTAATATCGTCTAGGGCCCCCGCGAGCACGTAGAAGTGCCGCAACACGACGTGGCATGGATTCGATCAATGTGTGAAGTAGTGCTAGAGATAATTGAGATCATGAATCCTGTAGGGCTGTCCATAAACCAGTGGGAGTGAAAGGGGGTGGGGATATCTTCTGAACATCACGCTGCAAGGCATCCCAAATATGTTCAATAATGTTCATGTCTGGGGATTTTGGTGGCCAGCGGAAGTGTCTATATTCAGAAGAGTGCTCTTGGATCCACTCCCAGGCATGAACATTATTGAACATATTTGGGATGCCTTGCAACGTGATGTTTAGAAGATATCCCCACCCCCTTTCACTCCCACTGGTTTATGGACAGCCCTACAGGATTCATGATCTCAATTATCTCTAGCACTACTTCACACATTGATCGAATCCATGCCACGTCGTGTTGCGGCACTTCTGCGTGCTCGCGGGGGCCCTACACGATATTAGGCAGGTATACCAGTCTTTTGGCTCTTCAGTGTAATAACACAGTATCTCATATTGTTAAAAGTAGTATGAATAAAAATAGTTTAAAGAAGCAACTAAAAAGTTTCTTTTACACCATAAAAATCTTGTTTTTTTAACTTGCTTCGTAACAAACTAGTTTCGTCTTGTAACTACATATTAAAGTGCAAAACAGTTTTGCTAATTTTCTAAAATTAATAGAGAAATTTTAAGAAGTGGATAACAGAAATATTCTATTTGTCTTCACTATCCTTACTCTCCTCTATATTTCGATCTTTTTATGGAATTCCAAACAATTAAATTTTTCTCTAAGGAATCGAGATGTTCGTGCTTCAGTTCTACAGATTAACCTATGTTAATTGCCTCATTAACCATTTCGTGTTTTTTTTTTATTCAAATGAGATTAAAAATTTTTAAATTTTTTTATATTTAATTTCAAATTTGCATACATTATAGAGATAAAATAGACAAAAAAATTTTATAAAAGTTTTCTTTTTCACTATAGATTTGATCATAACAAGATTATAGGAAAATTGAAATTTAAGAATGAATAATAATCATGTAAAAGCAAAATTTTGAAATTTAATCTTTGTTGAATTATGATTGAATTTATGTAATACTAAGGTTATACGTATATACTAATGAAAAAATATGGAAAATACTTACAAAACATTTATTAGAAATGATGTTTAGTATGATTAACTTCGAAAAAAGGTCACGTGGCAGTCCTACATTGATATCTTTTCATCAAATTCGTTTTTGATTTCCAAAAAGCCAGGAATGTAGTGTTTTTTTGTGCCAGGAATGTAAGTTATTTCACTCGTGAAATGCTTTCCTCTTTGAGATTTGGAAAGAGCACGCAAAATGCTGCAAATCATGCTTGTATAGTTCATAGGAATCTGAGCAACCATTTGTTGACTTAGATCTAAATAAACAAACATCCCAGGAAAGCCGAAATGAAATTATGAGTGGCAAAGGAAAAATCACGGATTATGCAAATTTTGCTACTTGCATCAATTGCACCAACTACTTCATATTAAAGATCAAAATAACGTGCTTTCCGCTAAAAAGTCTATATTAGCACACGGTGTAAGCCTGAAGCTTAACTTCGAGTTTAAGATACTTAATTTGGGGCTTTATTTTATTTTTCTTGTTGAAAGAATTTCAAAAAGCAGCTATATATTTTTTATTTAAAAAATTCAAATATTTTGTGATTCGAAGATGCTTCACTCTTTCATCCCAATAAACTATAAAAAATTAAAAAATTAATTCTTTCTTGATTTCAGTCTCATCTTCAGTAAATTACTGCCGAACTCCTGATGGGCTTGCTGGAGAATGCGGAGAAATATCAAGATGTCTATATTTATTATTCGATATGGTCAAATTACGACGATCAGTTTGCTTTAGAAATTTCTTTATAGTAGGAATATGCTGCCCAGGGTTTTCGGTAAGTTTCCATTATTGATAACAATTTTGCAGGATTTGATAAAAAAATCCATCAATTAAAAGAAGTTAATTACATTACAAGGAGATTGCGAAATTTGCTTCGATATGAAACTCAGAAGATTAACAGTACAATCAAACGTGTTGTTTCTAATTGCACTGCTCACCAGCCATTAGCATTAGTCATTACTGCAATTTAAATATCAGTTATGATTTAATAATTAAAATAAATATTTAAAAAAGTATAATAATTTATGAGTTATTAATGATAGTAAGTAGAATATTTACAAAAAAAATGTCATTAGACAAGCAATTGACCATCAACGAGATTCAAACTTCTACTAACATTGAGTCTCATACTGAAGTAAATTTTCCCGTGGAAGGAAAAAAAATAGCCATAATTGTAACATTTCGAACTTATTCGTCAAGTTACGATCGATGGTTAATTTCAACCTGACCCCAATCACAAAAACCGTAAAGTGGCATTTTTTCTTCTTTTTGATATTTCGTTTTAAATGCAATGTAGAGCTCTACATATATTACAATTTCTGCACAACTCTTTTTTAATGTTGTAAATTAAAGTTTTTTCTAACAGTTGAGAAATCAAAAAAAAAAAAAAAAAAANATTCAAAAAAAAAAAAAAAAAAAAAAAACTGTTTCCGTATTACCACCTTGCATTGGTTAACTCTGGGACACCTAATTTATGACCATAAAATTGACTTCAACATTAATCTAGCACACAGCAAATCTTCTTGGCATTGAAAATAGACACAGAATTCTTATTAGATATATTTTAATAGTTTTGTGTCTTTTTTTAAATTTTTTTTAGGGGAAATAAAAAAAGGAGAAAAATCCGAAATAAAAGTATTAACTCCAGAAAATGAGAATGTTTCATAGTAAAATCGCTAAGTAAACCCATTTTACGGTCTTTTAATGGTAATGGCGGACATTCTGCAGGAGAGAAATTAGGGAAAATAAAAACTTGTCAGTATGTTTGTATTCAAATACTCCGTGACCATTAAATGTCATGCCAGTTTTTAACGAAGAGGTGCAAATGTTTCGAATCACTTATTAACAGATAGAAAATAATTTCAGGTCGGAAATACAAAACTATGATTCAATTTTCACCAGTCGTCGCCTTGAATTCATGTTGGTAGTTTATTACTTAATAAAATAAATTGTTCCACATCGTAAGACACGATTCCTAGCAGATGGTTGACCATTTTGATCAAACTCAGAAGGAACCAATGGTGCGCGTTATCGGTCCTTTTTAAACTGTTTTGCCATAAAGTACTTCGCTAGCAAATCGTTTGGCTACCAAAGCGATCCTAGCAGCAAAATAACTTGGGACCTCATTGGGCAATATTCATAAATCTTGACTCAATAAGGATTCAAAAGGCAGTTATTTTTCCTATTATTGGCCCTATTATATATATTGGCCCTATATAAAATTTTCAGATTCACCCGATATTTTACAGCCACTTTACAACCGATATCGGTCTTACATAGAATTGTCAGATGCACCTGATATTTTATATCCATTATGCGGGGTATTTCCATCAAAAAGTCCTCCCAATACTTAGGCAAATTTCTCCCAATACTTGAACCAGGAGTTCCCTTGTCTTCTGGATTGGGTTAAAAATTACAAGGATACGGAGTTGTACATTGGTAGCCGTAAACTGAAAATTCGGTCAGCTGTTCAAGGACGGTAGGTTGCTATTTATATTTCTGGCCTAATAATGAAAAAACAAATATGTAGGATCGAAATTGGTTTTATTGTTTTTCAAAATATTCTCCATGATGATCAATACACTTTTGCATGCGTTTGAACCAATTTTCAAAGCACTTTTTCCAGTCCGATTGAGGTAACTCCAAAACATGCGTTTTGAATGCATCAACCGCTTCTTCGGGGGTCGAAAATCGTTGTCCACGTAATTTATTTTTGATGTGTGGGAATAAGAAGAAGTCATTGGGCGCCAAATCAGGGCTGTACGGCGGAATACCCATCAGTTCGATCAGTTACTGTTGCCAAGGCCAGAAATATAAATAGCAACCCTCGTAATAAAATAAAATAGTTGAATTGAGACGTGGTGGCTTAGGGGATAAAGCGTTTGCTTTTCAATGATAAGGGATTTGAACTTTGGTAGCCGCAAACTGAAAATTTGGTTGGCTGTTCAACGATGGTTATTAAATAAAATAGTTGAATTGCAAAAACCGGTTACAATCGAATAGCAATTGAAATATCGTGTTTCAGTTGTATAAGGGGGTAAATTAGACTGTTATTTGCTTCTCATTTTGTGATCTTGTGAAGTTAACCGAGATTACAGCCAACACATGAATATTTGCCTTTACTTTGTTCAAAATCTAAACAAATACTGGTTCTGAAACGTGCTTGTTCTCCAAGAACCACTTTCCTGGCTTCGAATAACAATAAAATTTGAGGCAAATATTTAAAGAGAAAACTAAACACTAAAGGCTTTGCTCAATTCTAGTGGCTTATTCTCTTTATCCTCTCCATAACATATGTCTTTTCTAAAACAGGTGTAAAGGTTACCTGCAAAAGTAAGACCTACCAAAATATGTTTTAAAAATACAGAGGCTTTTGCCATAATTAGCTGCACTTTCTGTATTTTTTTTATATGATTTCATATGTTTTGAAAAGAATATTGGAAAAAATTTTTGACCAGGAAAAAGTTAATAATAAATTTTCTTAAGGTAGGTACTTTTTTACGTCGCACTAGAGCTGTACAATGGGCTATTGGCGACGACGGTCTGGGAAGCATCCCTGAGGATGATCCGAATCCAATACCATCGCAATTTCGATCCTATGCAGAGGGGATGGCTCCCCTGGTAGCCCGGTGACCTGCGAGCGAAGTCGAGCACTTTTCGATAGAACAGTTTAACGAGGACTAATACCGCGCACCCTCGGTCCCAACGTAGGCAGATCAAAGTGGTCACCCACCCACTTACTGACCCCATCCAGTGATGCTTGACTTCGGTGTTCTACTGAGAATCATGTTTTTACGATCAGTTCACTGCGGGAAGCAAAATTCCTTAAAAGGTTTAATTTAGTAATAGGAGACAAAATGGCAACAAGAATATAAACTTTTTGAAAGTTTTTCCTTGTATTTAGAAGCAACTTTTGAAACTAACGAACATTGTCGGAAAAAAAGTTCCTTGCATATTGAAGTTTATGAAAAGGAATTCGTGAAAGCTACTCAATAATTATGATGAACTTTTTTTTCTGGCAGTATCCTCAGTCAATAAAAAATGATTCATGTGTAATTATAAGTTATTTCAGAATATTTTTCATTGCATATCAATATTTATTCAAATTGTTTTTGTTTTGCGTTATTTTTCAATTTGTTTTGTGTTATTTTTCAAAGTCCACCACCACATCTATTGCAAATGTTACGACAGCTCCGGAAACGACAACAGAAACTCCTGAATCCACAACAGAAGTAACCACAACAACTTCTACTAAACCACCAACCACAAAACGAGCTACTCTTAAAACAACTATATCAACAGCAATACCTTTAAAAAGATTCCACTCGAAGTCCACAAAGAAACCGATTACAACTTCAACAACGACTGTAAAGAATGTCGAAGTTTTTACCACAACCACCACTACTCCTTTAGATACTTTGGCATCTGAAGCATCCATACAAAATTTCACTTATTCATCAGCTTTCAGTAAGTTTAGCTTCATCATTCATATTATTCACCTAAAAATAAAGCAAGTTGTGGAATCAAGTTTTTTATTTTTTTTTTGGTTTCTGATACATGGATTCCTTTATGAGCTTATTTCACAAAATTCATTGCAGCATAAATTTTCTTTAGGGGATAAGACTGGGCCATTAAGATCCCCCCTTCCCAAGGAACTTCTTGAATATCGTACAAGTATTTTAATAGCCCTTTCTAGTAAAAAGAAAAAAAATGTAAACAAAACTATATTTTAGTATGTATATTAATTAGGTTATCGCTGTATGCTAAAAAGGGTATACGTATAGTCAAACCCCGCCATAGTGAACCTTCAAGGGACCGAAATTTCAGTTCACTATAACAGGGAGTTCGCTATATCCGTACTGCAAACAATTTTAACCAATTTTTCCGAACAGCTCCCCTTTATTACACATTATTTAAATAAATGACCAATAAAAAGAAACACAAAAATGATTGAAAAACTGTATGCAGTAACAAAAAATGTGTTAGCTTATATTTTTTATTACTCTTCGTCTTGCGTACAAAACATTTAGGGGTGGTCTTTATTTAGGGATGCAAAACTGAGACAGAAGAAGCAAACAAGAAAAAAATGCTTATGGCTACATTCCACGCAATTGATGGTTTTAAAAATCGGTATATGTATTTTATGTAGAAATTTCAAAATTATTAAAAAATGAAAAAAAAAAAATCAGTCAAAGACAGAAAAAAGTTCATTATATCCAATTTTGCACTTCTTTTTGTTCACTATATCCACAAAAAATAATATTATATGTGTATGCGGGAACGAACATTTTGTTCACTATATCTGGGAGTTCACTATAAACCATGTTCACTATAACGGGGTTTGACTGTATATAGAAATAACGAAGGAGAAAAAATTTTTCCGGCTAAAAAATTTGTTAAAGCTAAAAATTTATATAATGAGCCTCCTACATTGAAAAAATACAGTGCAAAGTTTATACGTAGGGGCGTTCTATATTCTTTAAAATAAGGGTTGAAAAATCATAGAAAGTAAGAAACAGACCAGTTATAATGAACCCGGGATCTATTGAACAATAGGTTGTAGTGAACGTTTTTAGTTGTCCCGTCCAAATTGTTATTTAGTTAACGTTATTTCGTATGTTAATAGTGAACAACTGAGAAATTGATAGTTTGTTTATAGAGGACTCAGATTTCCTTTTTGCAGGTATTTAAATGTAATAAAATTTTTAGCCGATGTGATAAGTTCTAAAGTTTATCACCATGACTTTTAATTAGAAATGAATTCATACACTTTATAAATGCGAGATTCAAATTATGTTATAATGCAAGTTGTTCCTAAAGCAAGCACACGAGAATGAATCGGTTGCATCAAATTTCGAAGTTTTAAGTGTTTTTTTTTTTTTTTCAAAAATTATGGAATTAGAAAAGAGAAGCATTAATAAATCTTCCAAAAATGGCGAAATTTGACATAAGGATCAAACATTTGTTATAAGGAAAGCACTATTTCGTTATATGGAGAATATTTTAAATTTTATTCTGACTTCTGATTAAAAATTGATAGGAAGAATTTCGCTGTAAGGAAATTTCGTTGTTGAGGGGCTAATACAAAAATTTTTTCCCAATGTCTTTTTACATTATCATACTCCAGCAAGTGTCAGACGTGAGACGTTTCGAAATATTAGAAAAATGTCGATATAATATTTCCTGTAGAGATACGAGATGATTTTACGTATGCTGTTGGTTTGAGTTAATCAGTGCGAGTCTATTTTTAATACATTTTATTACTAACTTAATAGAACGACAACAAATTCACTGAAGGGAAAAATTAAAAAAACCCTTTACTCCCATCTAAGATGCGCACACTGCGCCATCTATTGAAAGAAAAAAATTATTAGTTTAATGGAAGGAGATGCAACATTATCCAAATAGAGAAAAGGTCAGACATAAGGAATTGACCCAACAAATGGTTGGTTTAAAGACTTATTCCTCTCGCGCTTAATTGGTATTTTTGATTCATGCACGGCTGGGCATGTGAGAGTAAAAACAAATGCATAACAGAAATCGTACATGTACCAGGCATGTTGGGCTACATAAATTTTGAACGCTGATTCATATATCTACCAGAGAAAACAAGACTTATTTTCTTACATAAGCATAAAAACGTATTGTATTTCTTTTGTTCTTGAAATATAAAAAGTAAAAAAAAGTTTGGTTTTGAAAAAAATGATAAAATTTGAATACTGCTTTTCTCATCTTAACTTTATATGTTTTAGTATGTAACTAAAAAGAAATTATAACGATTGATTAATTTTTTCAAAGCTTGTGGAAGCTCTGGAAGAGATGGGCGTATTGTTGGAGGATATGAAGCTAATCCAGGACAATGGCCTTGGATGGTAGGTAATTATAAGAGATTTAAAAATAAATTTGGCTCAGAAATATATCTTTAACCTTCTGAAGGATCGGCAAAGGACCGCTTCCCCATATCCGCACTTTCCGCGAGTACATTCACGCATGGGACTAGGCGATTTATTTATTACCTTGAGCCTAATTTCCCACAAATATGCTGAAATTTACCTTATCATTGATAATACCTGAATATACTGCAATAAAATTTTGCAATATTTAACAAAAAAGCTGCAAGTCTGACTTAAAACATGCACAATGCTATCTAGAGAATCCCAAAGTGCAAACAACAAATCTGCACCCAATATAAGCATTCCATCCTTTTCTTAGTCCGTTAAATTCCAAACAAAAATTTAAAGGGTAGTAATTTGCCTGCCTAATTCGCACTAATCAAGTTACAAGAGTTGATCTCGTGCAGTTGTTTAAATACTCCGGGTTAAATAAATAAATTAAAGATAAAAATACTTGGTATCCAAATTTCCTGATCACCTGGATAACATTATTCGAAAATATAACGAACCTCCTTCGTTATTTGATATGGTTTAAAAATTGAAATAAAACGTTCCAAATTGAAATCACAGCGACGTGATTGAAGTCTCAAGATCACGTGAAATCCCCACTCTCCACATTTTCCCGTAATCCATTACCATGATTACGGAAATCGACGGGATTCGACAGATCTTTCATTTTTCTCATGGTAATACGTTTCAGTAAAATGGAAAATACTGGCATGGGGAAAAAGTAAAATTACCCAATACGTGGAAACAGAGAGGGTAAAAGTGTAGAGAGCATGAAAATCGTATAACTTTGCCTATTGGATTCTTTAAAAAAGCATAAATCAATTGCGACTTACTTGTATTTGATTGATTACACTCCCTTGATTTCGTACTATCGCCTATCTTTTGCGGTTTATTATCAAATCAATGTCTGTTGCAGATTAACAATTCAAATGCCTGTAAAATCTTTAAAAAAAAATCTATTTCTGTATTAATTGGAAGATTTATTTCGACTGTATTTACTATAGAATTTTATAGCATACACGTTAAGTTAAACAACTCAACTATCTTGAAGAGTGAAGAGGCAATAGAACTGTAACTTACACTGCTATCCGGTTATTTTCTATTTGCGGTAAATCCTTAGAGCATCAAATACTGATAAATACCTTCTCTTTTTCCAAAACTAGTTCAATTTTCTGGCTATTTGTACATAGAAAGCTTCTCATACTATACAACTACCACAAAAATCTTTTTTTCGAAAAGCATTCAGGTGATGGAAGTTATCTTGATAGTTTAACAGGCATTTAACTATTTTTTTAAAATTTAATTTATTTTTATTTATTTATTTATTTGTTTTGATGACAATGGAATGATTTAATACAATGACATCTATGAATATCAGTGATTGTTCCTACCAAATCTTTTTTTTAAAAATCTGAAAAGTTTTCAGAATACCTTTTCTCAGAATAGAATATCTCTCTTTTAGAATATCTCAAAATTCCGTATAAATTTTTTTTTCAAAACAAACAAGATAAAGTGTTGTCTTCTAAAAAGATTCCAATCCTTTATACATAAATTTTTTTTTTAATAAATTATAATCAAGTTTAAACAATCACATTTTTGACACTACATCCATTTTCTAAAATAGCTAAGTCTACTTTCTTAAACATGATTTCGAGATGTGCCCATTTTCGTAAACACGCATTTCGAGCTATGACCATTTTCGAAAACATGCATTTCGAGCTATGTCCATTTTCGTACACGCATTTCGAGATGTGTCCATTTTCGTAAACAATGCATTTCGAGATGTGCCAATTTTCTCAGACACTCATTCTCATCTGTTTCCAGAATAAAAAGCTCACTGACGAAATGCTTCTCTTTTACATTTCTGTAGATTTTTTTTTAATTTAAGAAATCATAAAACAGTCATATTTTTGGTCATTCTAAGAGACCAGATTAAAAATCCAAATGTCCAAAAATATGAATGACAACTGATCTCTGAAACAGAACAGATAAATAAAAAAAAACTCAATGATCAAAGATTTAATATATTATCTTATAATACATCATTGTTTATTTGTTTCACTTGTTTAATCTTTGAATCATAATATATGATTCCAACCTATCATCAGTTCTCTGTAAAAGCAGTTGATTAATATCTCTCTACATTTGTTGTTAACTAACCCAAAATTTTCTGAAGAACTTAATGGGGATGAGAATATAAACTACTTAATCGGGGCTCCATTTTGAAAAACATATCATGTCAAAAAATTATAAAAATCAAAATTATATATTTCCAAAAATAATCTAAAATATTTGTTGAATAAAACTATATCATTTAATAAAATGGTTACAAATAATAAACAAATGCGATAATATTTTACTGAATATTGCGAAAAACTATTTGCCAGTTGGAAAGCTGATATTTTTTGATAAAATTTGATGGGATTTAAAAAGATTCCATAACAAGAGTCAAAATTTTATTTTTGGTTTAGTACATTCTGAAATGTTTTAATAAATGTTCTTTAAAATAATTCTAGGCTGCAATATTCTTGGACAGTTACAAAGGCCGGGAATACTGGTGTGGAGGAGCTCTAGTTGGGACATGGTACATTTTAACCGCGGCTCATTGTCTTTCTGACCAAAGAGGAAGAAGGTCTGTAATATTTCCTTTATTGTACATTATAATTGCTGCTCATTGTCTTTTTGATCAAGAGGAATATATATTAGTATTATTTTAATTTTCCACTGCTTGAATTTCCGCTATTGTAGTACGTATTTTTTTAAATGCAGTTCATAGATTTTTTGACCTAAGAGAAAGTAGGCTTTATAGTGCTTGTACGATCTCTCATTGTAAGTTTTAATAGCAGCTTATTGTTTTTTTTTTTGATAAAAAAAGGATATTAGCATTGTAATTCTGAAACTTTAACTTCTTGAATTTCTGCTGTTATATGTTAAATGCAGTTTATTGCCTTTTAAACCTAAAAGGAAAGTTTGTTCGGGGATAATAAAATTTCTCTTGTTGTAAGTTCCATTTAGCCTATAATGAGTAACAGAAGTTCATTGTTTTTCTTGTTTAAAGAGGAAGGCCATTAGTATTGCATTTTTTAAACTTCGACTGTTAGAATTTTCGCTAGTGCAGTATGCACAATTTTAATGTGGTTCATTACTATGAAGGAAGTTTGTTTTATAATAATAAAAGGTACAAGCCGACGTCGACGTTAAAATTCCTAAGAAATTAACTTCATTTCTTTTATTATAATTATTTTTCTGAGAATTTGAAGGTTTGCCATTATTTTTTTTATTATCGTATTATTTGCGAGTGTTGACTTTTATTGTCATTAACATGAACTTTTTTTCTTCTTAATACTATGTTTATACAGTGTTATTATTTTTACTGTTAAAATTTCTACCATGGTACATTTTATGTGTGATTTTAATCAAAGTGGAAGAAGGTTTTAAGGATAATGTTCATGAATTATTTGAATGTTAGTAATTCAGAAATATCATTTAACAGGTACAGAAAAGAACAGCTTACAGTACGATTAGGAGATCATCATTTGTTCAAGACAGATGATTTTATGAAGCCCATTGAGTTTAAAGTTGCTGAAACTTTACCCCACCCTGATTTTTCCAGAAGTGGGTTTTATAATGATATAGCTCTCTTAAAATTAAGAAAACCAGTTACTTATTCTGAATTCATCAGTCCAGTATGCTTACCTACTGTCGGATTGAAAGCAAATTCCTTAGTTGGATATATGGGAACAGTCACTGGATGGGGTACATTATCTTATGGTAAGCTTTTACATTATCAGTTCACTTTATTTACATAGATCAGAGATGACTAGCCTTCTTTTATTAGTGTGCCAGTTAAATTACGGTTTATTGCTTTCAGCTGTCCAGTTTGCCAATTGTAAATTTATAAGCATCTTATTGAAAAAAAAATTCTTTGAAGTGAGAAACTGTGATAAATCATGTTTAAAATACATATCTTGAATTTGTTTTTGGAATTTATGCATTTTTTCAATAGTTCAATCAGACGTAGGCTCAAAATTGCTTAAATATGATGAATTAAATATGAGATAAGTTATATTTTAAATAATTGTTAAAATACTCATTTGAGAAATATTTTCGTTATCACTCTTAATTATAAATATTTGTAAAAATAATTTTCATAAGATCAAAACATCCATTTCATATAACCTATATTACCTAACTTTTTAACGATCCAGGGTATCAGTTCAGTTAATTTTTCGGGCTACCTCAAAATTTTACTCTACTCTAATTCCGAATCCTATTTACAATATTGGCATTTTCGATACAAAGTGGAAGTCCATAGTAGTAACCACTGAAAACGTAATCGAAAAACCACAGATTTATGAACGACATAGCGCAAAGGAATTACTTAAATGCGAGTTTCGGAATTCACGTGTAGTAATAATATCGTTTTTCAAATATTGAGGATTTAAATAGGCATGTGGAGTCCGTAGCAATCAATCACTGAGAAAGGGACCAAGAAACCACATTAATTTATAATTAAACTACTTGAGACAGTAAAAAAGTGATAACTCAAATACGCATCTGAAATTTATGTGTCGTAATAATATCGTATTAAAAAAAATACTAAAACCCCAAAATCTTTAGACAAAATTTTTTTCTGTTAATCTAACGCGTATTTGCGTTAAACAGAGAAAAAGAATCCAGGAAAACCATCCATGGTTAGCCCGACGATAAGAGAACTTTAACCATACTGGCTGGAAATTGACTTTATTGAGGTAATGAATAAGAAACTCACTTTTTAGTAAATATTTAAAATTACCATAATTAGCTTTATCCTCAAAAAGACAGCGAGAATTAATATTACAATGTAACTGAAACATTTTTGAGGTAAGAGATATAAAGTACACCCTTGTGCAAATTAATTGAAACAAACTCAATAAATTCAGAAAACTAATAGAAAATGCTATTTTATTTAAATTTATGCAAACTCAAAAATTTTTAGTACATAATATGATCTCCACGACACTTTATTAACATTTGGAGACGATTCGGCATGGATTCCACTAATTTTTTACAGTCATTTATAATATTTGTGTCCTTGTACCACACACGCCGTGATTAGTTTCTCCATAGTTGTACAGTCCATATTTAAGAGGCGATTCTTGCATATGGCCCAGAGATTCTCAATTGGGTTGATATCCGGAGAGTTCCCTGGCCACTCCAATGTCTCAATTTGATTCTCAGACATGAATTTCTTGACAATTTTGGACGTATGGCAAAGAGCTAAATCCTGTTGAAAAATCCCTGTTCCATCAGGGTATCGTTTCTTCAACTCTGGAACAACTTTTTTATCCAGAATAGTAATGTACTGCTCAGAACGCATCATACCGTCAATAGGCTGCAAAGGTCCAACCCCATTGTAACCGAAACAACCCCAAAACATCTTCTTTAAAAAACACGAAAAAAAAAGTTTGTTTCAATTAATTTGCACAAGGGTGTAGCTTAAGGAATAAAGAGTTAAAAATAATTTTTTTTTATTTAACTTAGTTACGACAGGGAATTACTGAGTTATACATTTGTATTGAATTAAAAAAATAGTTAGCCGTTTCATTGATTGTTAAGAAGATTATAAAATATTTATAATTGTAAAATTTGATTAAGGAAAATTAAAAAATTAAGTTTATAAAATTAGCGAAATTTTGAAAGCGAGGAAATATGTAATGCCTATAATGGCATCAATATTGCTTTTACTCATTTGCTGGAAGAAAATTTAGTAAGAGTAATATACATACATCGTATTTTTCTACAGTTACCTTGGAATTTTTATTGTTTTCTTGGAATTTTTATTGTATTTTATTATTCTTTACAGACATGTTCCTTAGCATTTCTCTGTTCCTAAGGTGTTCCTTTCTTTTTCTGTTCCTAAGGTGTAAGGTGTTCCTTTACTTAGGGTTTTCCTGGATTAAATTCTTCTCAAGAGTAAAATATGTCGTGCCCGAGACAGTTATTTCAGCTCGAATTATTAAGAAACTGAGGAATTTCGGAAACTACAATAATTTTTATGAATAGTTTTAAGGTTACTGTCAATCTAAATAGAGCCGTGACGGCTCAAGGGATAGAGCGTTCACCTTTCAATGAGGCGAACCGGGTTCGAATCCCAGTCGACACGAATTTCGCATCCGACTTGCACCGACCACAGTGCTAACATGAAATATCCTCAGTGGTAGACGGTTCATGGGTTTGAGTCCCCTTGCTATCAGGCTAACCGTGGAAGGTTCTCGTGGTCTTCCTTTCCATGTAACGCAAATGCGGGTTAGCTCCACCAAAAAGTCTTCCACGAAGGCAAATTTCTACCACTACTCGATCCAGGAGTTCCCTTGTCTTCTGTATTGGGTTCAAAATTACAAGGTTATGGAGTTGAACATTAGTAGTTGCAAACCCATTAAATTGGGTCGGCTGTTGAACGACGGTTATAAAATTATAAAATATCAATCTAAATAGAGCCGTGATGGCTCAGGGGATAGAGTGTTCGGCTTCCATGGAATTTTAAGTTGGCTAAGTAGTAGTAGTAGTAGTAGTAGAAAGGGGCACCGAATTTTAAATGCTAAATGCATATTTTAAATAAGTATTAGAATAAATGTGTATCAGAAGTAGACATTATTAATTAAGCATTGCAGTAATAGATTGAAAGGTATTTTCATAGTAGTCGAAATAATTTAAAATATTTTCATTCAATCTAAAATGTTTACCATAGGTGGCACTGGCAGTGGTTCATTACAGCAAGTCACCATGCCCATATGGGATAATGCAGACTGTAATCGAAGATATTTTCAACCTATAACCAAAGGATTTTTATGTGCAGGTTTTTTTGAAGGTGGAAAAGATGCTTGTCAGGTAATTATTCATTTTTATATTAATTTATTATTTATTGTAATTATTCAGAACTCAAAACTAGAAGGGTCTTCCAGACTGGTAAAAGACCATTCCAAAAGATTTTCAAACTCAACTCATTTAAAAGAAATTACAAAGATTGAACAATTCAGGAAAATAAGGAATATCATATAAAAATAAATAATTTAAATAGGTTAAAGAATTTAAAATTATTTAATAGTTTGTTTTAAAGTCTTAACTTTCTTGTGCTATATTAAATAATATTTAATTCTATTGGTCACCTTCATTCAGTTTATTCCAGTTTTTTCAGTTTACTGGAAGAAATCCATCTCAAAGTGATACTTTTGATACATTAGGAAAATCTCCTAACACATTTCATTTGTAAATATGGATTTTAAATTGAAAATAAATTGAAATAATTTTTTTTATAATTTAATTTTTAAAACTTGTTTAATTGAAATGCATTATTAATAGCTTAGTTGAATATTTCTAAAGAGCTAAATATTTCTTTAAATGAATACTCAAATTAAATTGCATGTTTTTTAGAATTCACATTTTATGGTGCGTTCTGTAATTTAACATTGGTCATCATTTGCATAAAACGGATGTGATTAAAAGTAAGTTACGCTAAAAATTGCTCATTTACTTCAAAAAGAAAACTTATCATATTTAAGAAATTTTCGCCACAGATGTTAAAATGCTAGAACAATCTGACGCAATCTATCACTGAAATTTCCTGCTTTTTTTGTGATGATATATTTGTTTGACAGGGAGACTCTGGTAGTCCTATGGTGATACCTGATAGAACAAGACATTGGACTGTGATTGGAGTTGTATCATTTGGAAGTAAGTGTGCTCAGGCTGGATACCCTGGAGTTTACACAAGAGTCACGGAATATTTAGATTGGATTGATGAAAATATGCAATAAATATTTAAAACAATTTACTTAGTCTATTTTATCACTACCAATAAACGGCATCGAACCTCACTACGAGGGTTGCTATTTATATTTCTGGCCTAATAATGAAAAAACAAACATGTAGGATCGAAATTGGTTTTATTGTTTTTCAAAATATTCTCCATGATGATCAATACACTTTTCCATGCGTTTGAACCAATTTTCAAAGCCCTTTTTCCAGTCCGATTGAGGTAAGTCCAAAACATGCGTTTTAAATGCATCAACCGCTTCTTCGGGGGTCGAAAATCGTTGTCCACGTAATTTATTTTTGATGTGTGGGAATAAGAAGAAGTCATTGGGTGCCAAATCAGGGCTGTACGGCGGATGACCCATCAGTTCGATCTTTCGCTCCGTCAGAAATGCCTTTGTTTGAGTCGATGTGTGAGAGCTCGCATTGTCATGATGAAGAATGATTCGCCTGTTCTTCTGCTTTTTTCGAATTTCTCCGATGACTTCTGGCAAACAAATGGTCGTGTACCATTCAGAATTGACCGTCCTGCGTTGCTCTAACGCCACTGTTGCCACATGACCGTTAATGCCGAAGAAACAGGCAATCATTTGTTTCGATGTGCTTCTTCCTCGAACAACTTTTGTTGGTTTTGCCTCGTCTTGGAAGACCCATACAGTTGATTGCTGTTTTGTTTCCGGCTCATATGCATAGATCCATGATTCGTCACCTGTGTAGATGTTATACACAGCCTTTGATGTACCTTGAACGTATTTTTCCAACATTTCCTTGCACCAATCGACACGAGCCTTTTTTTGAGCGTTTGTCAGATTATGCGGGATCCAACGCGAACAAATTTTTTTTACGCTCAAATGTTCATGCAATATTTTATTGATGCTAGTCATACTAATGTCCAAAGACGCCTCTATCTCACGGTATGTCACATGACGATCTTGCTTTATCAGTTCACGCACAGCATCGATCTTTTCTGGCACAACAACGGATTTTGGACGACCTGCACGGGATTCGTCCTGGATCGAACATCGACCACGATTAAATTCGTTATACCAATTTTTTACAGTGCTGTAGGATGGCGCTTTATCGCTGAATAAAGAATTAAGTTCATCGAAGCACTCTTGTCTTGACAATCCACGTCGAAAGTTATGAAAAATAATGGCACGAAAATGTTCACGATTCAATTCCATTTTTTGAAAGAGAAGAACTTTTCAATTTACTGTCAACAACACAAATGAAGCTATAATGGTAAATCGTCTGCTGAATTTATGTTTAAAAATATCAAACTTTCGATTAAAATCGTCTGCGGTCGCCTAGCAACACTTACTGTTGCCAAGGCCAGAAATATAAATAGCAACCCTCGTATGAGCAAACTTTTTTGAGAATAAATCTCCCACGGTTAGCTTGACAGCAATTAATTCAAATGAGTATATTTGTATCAGCCCAGTTATGAATCAATATTGTTGATTCACTTGTCTAAGTTTCGTTTATTTATTGGCTATCGAAATGGGCTACATGTGTCGTAGAGCAGAACTCTCTACCTATGGCAACACTTCGCCTGCTTTCACCAGTAGCGCGTGGAAAGTCATAGGAGAAGGAAGTACGTCAGTTTCTCTCTTGATTTTCAAATAGATTAAAAATTTTCGAGTTAGGAAAGTATATGGAATTGAAAACTACATTGAACATAGTTTTAAATGAAAGCGTTGTGAAAATTTAAAAAAAATATTTGTGACAATTAAATACGAAAAATATTAAGAAGAAGTGAAATATCGTAGTACATTTCTATACAACTGAAAAGAGGGAGATTCTATGTAAAATTTTAATTATCAGGTGATACTATACAGCATCATTGTTTCTACGCTTCTGAAACCGGTTTGCACTTGTTTATGCTCGCGTGTCAATTAGTTAACATTGTAATGTAATACGTTAAAAGTAAATATAAATAAGAAGTATATAAAAAATCACCCGAAATAAAACCTATTACATGCATGTTTAAATATAAAAGTATTGAATACAAACTCGTGCGGAACATGCAATTATTAAAACACTACAGTCTGTCTATGAATTTGATATAATTATTATAATATACTTATAAAATACCTGATATAATAAATATTCTATATTTATGTAATATGTCGTTTAATTTATCCAATTGCCGAATTTCTATTATGTATCCTATAATTTTACTAATTGATGCACGAACGTAAACAAGTAAAAACCGGTTTCAGTCGCGTAAAAGCAAAAAAGATGTATAGTATCATATGATAATTAAGATTTTACATGGAATCTTATAGTGCGTCTAATAATTTGGCCATGGACTGTAAGTGGTATTTAAATATAGAAATTCTTACAATGTGAACTTACCACCGCTATTATAAATTTATAGAACCTATGTCAATTCTTTGTTGTTGTTGTTCATTTACGTCGCACTAGAGCTGCACAATGGGCTATTGGCGACGGTCTGGGAAACATCCCTGAGGATGATCCGAAGACATGCCATCACAATTTTGATCCTCTGCGGAGGGGATGGCACCACAGCTTCGGTAGCCCGACGACCTGCACGCGAAGTCGAGCACTTTACGGTAGAACAGTTTAACGAGGACCAATACCGCACACCCTCGGTCCCTACGCAAGCTGATCCAAGTGGTCACCCACCCGCACACTGACCGCAGCCAGTGATGCTTGACTTCGGTGATCTGCTGGGAACCGTGTCTTAACGATCAGTCCACTGCGGGACATGTCAATTCTTTAATGAGAACTAATTATTTTTTTTTCAATAAAATTGTCTTTTATGCAAATGAGTAATATAACGAATTTATTTGAATTCATTGGTGAACTCTTTTAAAAAGGAATACTCAAAAAAGAAGTTTGAAGATGAAATCAAATGTTACATCTGTTTTCTTAAAAACGCATTTTTGAGAATTTCCTGTTTTTAATAAATGTATGATTCGCTCGAAAGGTTTCAGAGATATGACGAAATACACAATAAGTGAAATTAACTTTCGACCGCTCTCCTGGCTAGACTATCGGGAGCCTATTTTTTAGATTGCGTCTGCACCCCCCTCACATTTTAGAGGTCTAAAAAATGGATGTTTATTCATAGTTTCTTATTTTTAAAATACAGTCTGCACAAATTGATGAGTTTATTTGATGTTTTGCACCATTAAGATTAGCACTTCATTTGTGAAAGTGGTCATTAAAACAGAAGTTATTCAGGGAGAAACAATTCTGCTCTATATCAACATAACGTGAAAAAAACGGACCTACAATTTTTGATTCAATGATTGAATAAGTTATAGGACTCTTATCTTGATGGTTCGAGGTCGTAATATCAAAAATGCTAATTAGTGCGGATGATATATTAAGTTACGAAATTAGACACAAAAATGGCTGAATAAATATACTTTTTTTTAATGGGTTCTGTTTTCTGACCTCCTAACCTAAATATAGGAGGCAGTCGCAATCTGGGAAATATGGTCCCCATAGTTTAGACGGGAGAGGGGTTCAAAATTTGGACCCATTTAATGTTTATTTTGCTATATATATATATATATAATTGAAAGGTATACATTATAAAAAGTCATTTTACAAAATTTGAAAGAAATCGGTTCTATAGTTCCTGAGAAATCTAATTTTAACTATAGACTTTTTAAAAAAAATTTATTTCTGAAGAAATATTCAACCGATTTAGCTCCACTTTCGTATTTTGCCATGTAAAATTATATACTTTAAAATGATGTAAACAAATATATACCTTACAATTCAAAATTTTTTCAACTATTAAGTATAATAAAAAATATTAAATGAAATTTATTTTTGCTCTAGATTACTTTTGGAAAAACGAATTTCAAAACTGTGTGAACGAACTTTAAAATGTTTATTCTGAGAAAGTATATTTCTGTGTCAGATTTCGTGTCTTAAAATATCGTGAGCACTAATTAACATATTTAAGGTCATGCCATCGAACCATTAGTCCTAGTAAGTGAAAATCAAAAGTTTTTTTAGAGGGGGTTGTTTTTGTTCACTGTACACTTTTTTACTCTTTATTACTGCCTCATTGACAAAGACATTTTTTTTTTATTACAGGAAAATCTTTAGTTTAAAATGGGGAATATGTTTAATCAGTTTTTAAACTTTCGTCTTTTTTCTGCGAAATGACAATCACTTCAAAATATTTCTGTATTTTACTAAAACAGTCTCATTTTCTCACTTTAAACAAGTCTATTGATAATTTTTTTCTAGTTGATTCATATGCATCTTTGATGAACATTTGTTCAGAGTTCACTAAAATAGAAGCAATAGCAGAAAATTGTTAAAAAAATCCAAACACTGCTTAATATATGTTTATTAAAAGAAATACATTAGAATAAAAAATTTTAAAAGTATGTTTTGATAAAATAGTTTGATTAAATTGCGTGTTGTTTAATCCAATCCATGTAAGTAGTTACTCTAGTGAAAACGGATGGAAATTTCGTATTACAACCACGTCTTCCCCAAGATACAATTCCAATTACTTTCCAACGATTTTCATCATCCAAAAGCATAAGGGGACCTCCAGAATCTCCCTGAAAATTTATTATAAACATTAATATAGAAGAAAAACGCGATCATATTGAAGTAAATCGTGATCATATTGAAGTAAAGGTACTTAAGTAAATAAAATTAAACAGCGCTTGAACAGTTTAACAGTTTGTGCGACAAAAATTTAATATCTGTATCAAATGTAGTTAGAAAGTTAATCTCAAGAGATACTTTAAATACGCCATGGTTAAGTAATACGAGTAACAATCAGATTGGCTGAGAGTCAAAAATTTTTGAACTTAGTATGTAATAATTGACAATGTATCTCAAAATTTAATGTATTTTTCTTTTGCATTCAAAGTATCTATTATATGCAAAAAATATTGTTAAGTAATTAATTCTTTTGCTAAAAAAATAGGCTTTAAAAACTAAGATAGTTATAACTGGCCTTTTTAGGAAGTTAATACTATTTTACAAGGTGTTACGCAAAGACCGCTGTTGATGTACATTTTTAGAACTTTTATCAAAAGTGAAGACAAAAGTCTGCACATTGCATTTAGTTAATAGAATAAAAGTTACCGAAATCTTAAAAATCACAGTTGAAGATTGGTGTTCGAAACATCAGAACTTCCTGGAATTCCAAAGCTAACAAGAGTTAAGATGGTTCTTAGAAACACCTTTAAGTTTAAACAGGGTATCAAACACGCTGATATTCTGTATGTCAGATAAATGTGTTTTAAAACATTAGCTTTCTTGTTAAGAATAGTAAAAAACATTGCGAACAAACTAGAAGCTCCTAGCAGCAAAATTAAGCAGCGATCCTTAAAAAAAAAAAGTAGTTTTGATATTGGAATAAAATTAATCACAAATTTCTTCATTAGCTTTCAATTTCAAATTTAAAACGAAACACAGGTTTTACCATATTTCGAAACCAATAAAGACGAAACCAATGATTTCGCATCTATCGAAATATTTATTTCGGTGCGTGGTGAAAAGAAATCCTACTTTTGCTATAACTTTTTCAACTTCTTAAGGACAGATAAAAAATTGGACGCTGATATCCTGGAAATAATTTTAAAGTTGCTTTACTTAAAATTATAACAAAAATAGCTCACGTTACAAGCACTTTTATCTTTGGAAGGAGCTGAAGTACAAATCAATGATTCTGGTATGGGCAAACCGTGAGTCTGTGCACATTCTTCATTTGTCACAACAGGAAATTCGACTTCCTGTAAAACATCACTTGTAAAGGGTGAAACACCTAAAATAAAGTTATTACAATCTTGTAAACATTGAGAACCTAAACAATAAAAATAATCTAATTAAAATGATCCTACTTGTATACTTATGAAAGTAATCAAAACGTAAATAAAATAGGGATTATTGTATGTCCTTCAATAAATTTTAAAAAAAAAAATAGTCTTATTTCTGAAAAAATTCATTATGATGTATCCATTATTTAAGGAAGAATATACAATTATTTAAATTAGATATTTTTAAAAATTTTGCTCAAATGTTTTTCAATATACGACTGCCTCCGAATTCAATAAACGTTTATTTTTTAGAATGCATATAGACGCCCCTGGTTTACAACTCATTTATTTCAGAAATGAAATTTCATAACAGTTAGAATTTATATCAAACTCTGCTTATTTTAATTCTAGGCTGATATCTTCTGATACAAAGAAATTAAAAAAAAAAAACTTGTTTGAGTACCGAAGGAAAACTTTGTTATCTGAACTAATTAGCCTAAAAGTATCTCTTGAACATAAAAAATCTGTATTCAAAAAATTTCACTAGAAATAAGTTTGGCAAGAAAAGTTTTCACTTTAATCACTATATCAAGGAATGATTTTTAAATATTTCATAATCCTAGGTAGTAATTTTTCAAGCATAAAATTAGATCATAATCATTATCATAATTAGATCAGTGCTGAGATTAACTCACTATATTCATTCTCTTTACAGAAGAGAGTTGGCTTATTGGGAGAACTAAATCAAACAGTATAAAGAATTTAACAGCAATTATAAAAATAAATTATTCCGTCACGTGTTCAAATTATTTGAGAAGTTCCATAAGCGTCATAGAAATACTTTTTTTTTAAAGAAAAAAAGACATTTCCAAAGATGTATGTGTCGTATGTTAATTGAATAATCTGGATTTGCGTCATTTTGCAATGCACCTAGCTCAGGAGAAAAATCTTGAATAATCAGCTTGGCACTTTATAGATTTATTACGGTGAGAACTTTTGGTTAGTTATATAACCGGTGTTCAACAGCCAACTTATTTTCGCTTTTGCGACTATTAACATTTAACTCAGTTGTCTTGTGATTGCGAACGCAAACTAGAACACTAGGCATCAAATATTCGGATAAACTAGCCTTTTTGATGGAACTAATCCGTTTTTGTTTTACACAAAGAAAAAAAAAAACCACGAAAATTTCCCATCGTTAGCTCGACGGTAAAGAGATTCTATCACAGATCAGTTTTATTTCTGAGTCAGTGCTAGCAAAATTCTATTGACTAGCCATCGCTGATATGCTTATTGTAAATAGCCTTAAAGGTTTATTGCTAAGAAAATTCATTCTAAGAAATTTGTCTTACGTTTTCACGTTAAAGACATGTAGACTGATAGTAATAAGCCTGAAAGTCAGATTCGAATATACAGGCTATTTTCTTAATTAACCTTGCTCATTACAAACTGCTGGAGATGCTCGGTAAAGCGCCAGATTTTCCAGGGGATAGATCCTCCCACTGAGGGGATCCGGGTTCGAATTCCGCACCCAGCTCGCACCGCTTACAGTGCTGACGTGAAATATCCTAAGTGTACGGATCATGGGTTAGAGTCCCCTTGTCATCAGACTAACAATGGGAGGTTATCTTGGTTTCTTCTCCTAATGTAACACAAATGCGGGTTAGTTCCATCAAAAAAGGCCTCCACAAAGGTAAAATTTCTCCCAATACTTGAACTTGGAGTACCCTTGTCTTCTGGATTGGGTTCAAAATCACAAGCATACGGAGTTAAACATTAGTAGTCGTAAACCCATAAATTGGGTTGGCTTTTCAGCAAAGGTTATAAAATAAAGTATTATTGTAATAAATTAAGAAAAATTCTTAAGACTGATAGTTATTTTTCATCGATAAATTAAATTTATGAAACAACGAATAAATTGTTTGTTAATTTGCATCGATAAAGTACAAAAGATATGAATTAAGTAAAATTACAGAAAAAATTTAATATAAGTTTATAAATAATTCATAAAATAGATTATATAAGTTAATAAAACAGTTTTAAGATTAAAACATTTAAAATTTCTACGCTATAAGTAGTAGACGACTGAAAACCTTATCGTGAAAGACAATTTTGATTTAAAATGATACTTCAAAAATGCTCAAATCTAACCCTGCAGGGTACTGCATAATCACTGTCCTAATATATTTTTAGAATACTTGTCAAAATTTAAGTAAAAACACATTAAGGGTTACAAATTAATCTTTAAACCAAGAAACAAAAACGCTATCTGTCGAATGATTGGTGAATAAAGTGGTTCGAAATACAAGGTTGATACAACAACCTCCTGGAAGAGAGACAGCAAGAATCACTTTACTAGTGCGAAGGAATGAACATGAAGTGGATAGTAAGAATGTTACAACGTTCGGACTACTAAGGATCGGATTTCCAGTTTAAGGTAACTCATGTTTCTAAGAAGTGTTAGTAGATTAAAGAAACTCGTGTGTTTCTAATTATCACCTCTATTTCCTTTATCAGAAATAGTTTGTTAGCTTTTGTTTTTGTATATCCTAGCTCTACAACACTTCATTTTTGAAGATATATGTATGATACTGAAGACATTGTTTGTAATATATACCCAGCCTTTGTCGAGGACAAAATATGCGTTTAAAAATCATCCATATATAAATTTATTTTAAAGTCAAATCCAATTTTCGCAGCATTTCAAATCAAATTCATTAATAAAATTTTGAAATATACATTTAAATCTATACTAGATGAAATAAATTTTTAATTTTGATAAAGCTGATCAAATTTTTTCTTTCAATATTTAAATTGATCTATAAAAACGTCAACTATGAATTTTCAGCGCACTGAAAGGACTTGCACAATTTACTTAAGAGGAAGCTACACCATGTACGACTTTTTCATGGCAAATCCTGCTTAGACTACAGTGGCATTTTAAAATTTAATTCACAGAGAAAAAGAGTTCAGGTAAGCAGCGTAAATCATGAAATTTCAGTCCTGAAAATTTGATTTCAAGATATTCAGATGCAAACAACTAGAACTCCCTTTTTCCATATTGAATTGAAATTACTTATGTTATGTGAAACAGAATTCAACTCAAAGGGTTTCTCTCTAGTCCTCTTAAGATGCCATACGGCGGAAGAAAATTGTTTTCACATTATCTTTCTCCTTCAGACAAATCTAAAGTCATAAAGCTTCATTAACAGGAAAAGAAAATTCTGCAAGATATTAAAATGCAAACAAATTATTAAAAGAGAACTTCTCCGTAGCGCAATCCTAAGTTTATCATCCCATAATTTATTTACCATTGCATATTTTAAAATATTCTTTTCAGAATTTGAAACTTCATGGCTAGATTAGTCTGAACTCATTTTTTTCTACACTTTAAATTAGTAATAAAAGAGAAGGAGAATTCGAGACGAAACTTTTCTACCGCCGTATGGCGTCCTTTTAAACCGTTCAGGGACAATTTTGCACTCAATTTATTCACTTACCTCCTTGAAGACGTCCCCAACCTGCCAAAGTTGCAATTCTTCCAGTGTAGTTTTTAGTTGGATCCGGAAAACAAACTGTTTGTGTAAATTCATTAAATGCAACAGGCTTTTGTATCTTCAACAAAGCTATATCATTTCTCAGTGTAAAACGATTGTATTGACCATGTCTTTTGATTTCTACAACTTTATAATCTTCACCTTTATCACTTCTCAAATCAAAGTCTCCTAATCTAGCTATTATTTCATTCTTTTTCACTCTAAAAGTAGAAACGAATTAAATTGTAAAAAACACTCTGAACAACTTTAAATCTAATGATAGTATTTTCTAGTACAAGGAGTCAATATTAATGGATTGAGAAATGGTGGTTCATACAAAACACGTGTCTCAAATAATGCTAAATGACAAAACCATAAATGTAGAATGCAGAAATTTACGCTTGCCAGTGGGTTTTCTTGACGGGGAATCAACGACTAATTCAGAAAATTTTTCTAGATTCTGATTCCGGAATTCATAAGCCCCTGCTCGAAAATGTCTTACGTGATTTGGGGTGCTTCCCTATTATTACCTGTTCAGAAGAAATAGTTCATAATAGAAAAGTGCCCCTAGCGGTGTATGATGACATTTCAGGACTTTGGTTTCAATACCATTTTAATCCAGTTACTTTAACACTAGATTGCCTAAGTAAGTCATTTTGACTGCTTTTAATTTCAATTAGAAGAACAATGATGTATATTATGACACAATTTCTTAGAATTTTGTACAACACATAATTTTTTTATAGTTAATATTTACTAATAATTTGTTATATAACTGTAAATATTTAAAATATTAAACATTAATTTTAAACAAATTTCCTTACACATTGTTTATTTCTTTACAATCCAGTCATTTTGACTGCTTTTGGGCAATATAGGTATATACTAAGTTTCAGTCTTCCTAGTGTTAACTTCTCTAGAAGCTTGTTGCGACCTCCTATTATTTATAACGCTTTTAAAATTGTACATTTCGTAAAAAAAAATAAGACTAGAAATATTATTTAAAAAAAAACTAGATCTCAGAGGAACAGATTGCAGATTTGAAATTCCCACATTCGAATCAAGTATTTGTACTAATGCACAGTTTTTCCCCCTGCGTTATCTTTTGATTCCTAAATTCCAATTGGGTCACGAAATTGCATTTTACAATTCAGTAGATATTACCATGAAGAGGAAATAATTCGTTAATGAAAATTAAACATCTATGATTAAAAGTATATTTGGATGTTTAACTCTTCTTTAGGCTGCTTAAACAGCTTAATTGCCTGATATGAGAATTGCCTGATATGATTCCGATATGAGAAAAGATATCGGAAAAATATTTTTAGTCTGATTACGTAATATAGTTCGTTCTTATACCCTTAATTTCCCTAAAAATAAGATTGTGACTTCGTATGATTAAATACATGGGATTGATTTAAATTGTCTTTTCTTACCCACTGTACATACAGCGTGTTTCAAAAATATAGCAACGATCTTTCAAGGGTAAACATGAGAATGTCGCAGGCGCATAGAAACGTAAGATCGGAATTATCATCGTACGCGTGTATCATCTGCTGGAGAGTTTGAACTTCGTTCGCTAATCTTGATTTCTTTCCGTGGGGAGCCCTCCAAGCTATTGCGTATCACGAGCCTGCCAACTCACAAGTTATAACACTTTTCAACATTTTTGGCGGTGGGGAAAGCATGACCAGGTATGCAAACCTGTTTAAAATTTTCCCAGCACTTTCAAATAGTCAGGTTTTTTACATACCACAGAAAAATTTAAATGTCGCGGCAGTCAATATTAATTCAAATGTTTAAAAAATCTCAAAAATTGCTACTACTTTAAATATTTGAAGAAAATCTCCTGCCAGGAAGTTGGAAGGTCAGTTATGGACTGAAAGATTAGTCTGCGCTACAGTTGAAGAATCGACTGACTCCGTTCTCGTCAACTAATCATGACGAGTAACAATTTCTTCCCAATTTGTTCTAATTATCCATTCTTTTGTATTCTCTCAATTGTCACTTCTTCCTGATGGCCATGGATTTCTTTGTCGCTACATATTTAAGACAGCCTGTACTATGAACTTACCCAAATGTGCAGTGCGCAGCAGTCAGTACGTAGCGATCGTTGATAAGGACACCTCCACAGTAAAATTTCTTATTATTGATTAAAGCAACCTGCAAAAATTAAATATTAAATGTAACATGGTTTTCAAAAACATTACATGAAAAATTTTGGTTAAACAATTCTTGCAGCAAAAACAGATGACAAGGCATAAAGCTTTTCACTCCAGATTCTTGGATTAAGTTAAAAGTGTTTATGAGAGATGGCGCTGGACATAGTAAACCTATAAATTTAGGAAAAATAGTTTAAAATAGCAGTGGTGGATATTTCAAAAACAATGTGAGAGGTGATTTTCATTCAGAACAAATTTTCGAAAAGTTGTGATGTTCCTTCACTTTTTTTCATTTACTACCAGCAGAATCCTTCTAAGAAGAAATTTTTGAGCTTAAATTAGGAACTTTGAGAGGAAAAAGTTGCCTTATCACATAAATTTGCTATAGTAATTCTGTTCTATAACCTAAACTGTTTTCGTGTTATAAATTTTTTAAGTACCACTAGGGTAATTTAGAACATGCAATGAAATGAAATAATCTTACCATCCAGGGCCAAGCTTTGTTGTTTGCATCTGAACCACCAACTATTCTTGTATTGGTGCCAACTCCACATTCTTAGAAAGAAAAAAAAGTTAAGGATATTAGAGTATGTTCTGCTCAGTTATTGCGCTTCTCTACGGAACAGATCATACATACATACTACATGAAAACGCTCCAATAATTTAAGGGATTATGAACTCTTTAAAAATTTCTCTTAATTCGGTATACGTGGTGTGACTATTAAACAACGAGACTGATGCTTCTATGGAAAAACTATGCACCTGTCAAACGCAACAAACCAACAACAGTAGTGTAAAGTTTTTTTTTGTGAGCCTCCCGTGTGTGTAAAGAATTTAGTTGTGCCCTTCGTTTGCAAAAAGCTTTGTTTTGTCGGTAGAAACTCGAAGTGTAGTAGTAGTGAAATTTCAAATAAAACTTGGGAAATGTGTTACTGAAACTTATTAAAAAAGTGTATAGCAGTGAATTTATTTTTCACTTAAGCGTCTTTAAGATAGCTGAGAAGACGTTGAGGATTAATCAAGTCACACTTCCACATCTAAAACGGATGAGAAATCGGTCATCCGATTCGATCTGGCCAATGGTGTGATTGCTGAAACTGTAGGAATTTATAAAGAATGCGTAAAGACGAGTTGTCCATAAGCAAGCTCATTCAACAGTCTGTCAAGACGTTTTCAGACAATTATAAAATCCTTGTGTCTGATTATCCTTTTAATCGCCTGACTTTGCTCTATATGATATCTTTATTACCCCAAGATCAAATCGGAATTCAAAAGATTTCATTCCAATTTTCAAAATCAAGCTTTCAGTCCAATTCAGTCCAATGGGAAAAAAAAAGGTGCTGCGTCATGGAAGAGAAGACTTCTTCCAGTACTGTTTCGACCATTGAAGCGTTGTAGGGATAGAGTGTATATTGAAGGTGATTAAAAAATGAACGAATTTAAAATGTGTTTTGCAGCAACAATCTCGTGATTAAATGGCCACCGTTCTTACATAATATATATAGTATATATAAAGTGAAATATAATCAGGTATGAAAAGTTAACGTGTATTAACTGTATTAAGGTTTTTTAGTGATTCTCGCTTTATTCAATATCATAAAGCGCAAATTTCCTTCAATATTGTATGCTCGCAGAACGAGTTTTATTTATGTCGAAGTTGAAGACTTTCTTAACTACAGATTAATTTTACAAAGCGTAGTACCTCAAATCAATAATCTGAGGTCATTTCTTAGAGTCTCTTTGCCGTCAGGCTTACCATGGGAGGTTTTCTCCATGTAACGCAAATGCGGGTTAGTTTTATCAAAAAGCCCTCCACGAAGGCAAATTTCTCCCAATACTTGATCCAGGAGTTCCCTTGTCTTTTGGATTGGGTTCAAAATTACAAGGCTAAGGAGTTGAACATTAGCAGTCGTAAACCCAAACAGTTGGGTCGGCTATTAACAGTTATCAAATAAAAGTTTCAGCTCTTAGAAAATAATTTCATGTTAAGAGGAATTCATCTCAGCGCTAATGGTCAAAAATAATGGGTAGGCTTACAAAGTAGGGTAAAAACGATCAAGGTGTCTCTTTTTGTTATTTAATTTTTCTAAATACCGAGAGTGAATGTAATGAAACTAGAGTTATGATTAAGCCAAGGGTGAAATGTTCTAGGTAGACTCAAGATCATGACGCCAAAATTAACCTTAAAGTAAATACGTAACGTGAAATGTCCCAAATTCGCAGTCCTCAGTATTTTGCTATTTTAAAATTTATCCATTGAACCATAAAGCATTTTTCCATATAGGGAGATCACGATATTTAAAAAAAAACTGCAAATCTGATCCAAACAACAAGTCTCAAACTGCAAATGACAAATCTACATTAACCGATAAGCATTCCATTTTTTTCACACTTCGACAAAATATAAACAAACCCTGATTGAAATAATTCTCGTGCCTAATTCACTAATCCCCTGCAAAAAGCAGAGGCAGGTAGGTACTTTATCAACATCGCACTAGAGCTACGCAATGGTCTATTGGGGACGGTTTGGGAAACATACCTGAGGATGATTCGAAGACGTGCCATCTCAACTTGGGTCCTCAGCAGAGGGAATGACTCCTCTGCTATGGTACCCCGACGACCTGCTAGTGAAGTAGAGCACTTTATGGTAGAACAGTTTAACGAGGACACCACGCACCCTCGGTCCCTTCGCAGGCTGATCAAAGTGCATCATCCACCCGATTACTGACCGCAACCAATGATGTTTGACTTCGGTGCTCTACTGGAAACAGTGCCTTTGATATTAGTTCACTGCTGGACTCGAAAAAACCGAATGCATGCAGTTATTTAAATGAACCGATTTTAGGGATAGAAATAAAAATAAAGAAAGAAAAATACTCGGAACCTAAAGCGCATATTGACTATTAATCATTAGTGAGACATTATACGAAATTATTGCTGACTTCTTCCTCCATTTAATGCTGCTGTTAAAAAATTAAAATACGTAATAAATTAAAATAATTGAAATCACTTCATTTTAATCAAGAGCTGCTAGTGTCGAAAAAGCTCGTCTCATTCACAGAATACCAAGGCCGTGAAGGGAAGATCAAGTCAACATGTACATAAAGTCATGATTCCGAAAGGGTTAAGGGGGTAATTACAGAATATTTTGAATGAATAATTAAAAAAAAAACTTACCTCCAGTAGTATTTACTTGATCATCAAACTTTTCCTGATTATCTTGCCAGTCAATAGATATTGCTTGAATAGGAAAATTTGGACAACAAACGCCAATGAATCTGCTCTCAATGATGCATACATTATTCATAAATTGTTGAAGTGAACTTAAAATACTTGGTAGAAAGCAATGTTGCACATATCTACAAACACCCGATTCATTTTTAGATGTTTGACACTCTTGAAACTTAGATTCGGAAGATGCAAGAGGATTAAATACAAAAGATTTAAAATTTGGACCAAGCATGCTTCTTACTTCATCTTGCAAAGTAAAGTGCTCTTCTGATTCAATTAAACTATCTTCATTCAAAACATTTTGATTGGCATTGTTTCTGCCCTGAAAATCTACTTTTTCATTCAGTAAAATATCTTGAGATTCTGTTGAAAGTTCTTTTTTAGTCTCTGAAACTTTAGGTTTTACTTTACAAATTTTTGAACGTTTATTCGAATTATTCTTTGGTTCCGACAATTTTTCCAAGTCCTTCTCCGGTTTTGTATCCGGTTTATTAGGATTTGGTTTCGATATTTTCTCTGCACCTTTTACAGCTTCCTGTTTATTTTTCTTATTACCTTTATAATTTGGCAAAGTTTTTTGAATATTAGGTACTTTAATATACTTTTTTTCAGCGATGTAAAACACTTCATCCATTTTTAGTTCAGAAGTTTCAAAATTGTTGCTTTGATCGACTTTTAAAGTCCTCTCTGTTACAAATTTGTTATCAGACTCTCCCAGATCTAAAACTTCACTAGGTTCAGCGAATTCTTGGGGAATAAATATCGGTTGTCCGTCTATCAAAGGTACGTAACTTCCCTTTAAAACAGAATCTGAAAAGGGAAAAAAATATTTATATATGTGTGACAAACGAAACAACGCCTGTGTGAAAAAAACCAACAAAGGCCAATAGATTTTATATTTTATTTAATAATTGCAACCGACCCAAGTTTTTGGGTTTACGACAGCTAAAGTTCACCTCCGTAGCCTTGTAATTTTGGACCCAATCCTGAAGACAAGAAAACTCCTGGATCAAGTATAGGGAGAAATTTACCTTCATAGAGGACTTTTTGATGGAACTAACCCGCATTAGCGTTACATGGAGAGGAAGACCACGAGAACCTCCCACGGTTAACCAGACGGCAAGGGGACTAACTCATGATCTGTCTACCACTAAGGATATTTTTACATCAGCACTGTGGTTGGTGCAACCCGGATGCGGAATTCGTATCGATCAGCCATTGCCGGGATCAAACCCCGGTTCACCTTATTGGAAGGCGAACGCTGTATCCCCTGACCCATCGCTGCTCTAAGGCCAATAGATGTCGCTTCCTCCGCTGTTAGAACTATTTTGATGTAAAGAAAGTTGTTGTTGTTACTTTACGTCGCACTAGAGCTGCACAATGGGCTATTGGCGACGGATGTAAAGAAAGAGTGAGTTCTACTGTTCCTGGCCTATTATTAGACGCACTATTAGATTCTACGGAAATCTTAATTATCAGGTGATACTAAACAACGTTATTGTTTTTACGCGACTGAAACCGGTTTGCACTCGTTTATGTTCGTGTATCAAGTAGTTAACATTGTAGTGCAATACGTTAAAAAAATAATAGATTAATGCAAATAGAAAGTATATAAAAAATTTCAATAAAAACCCATTACATGTGTGTTTAAATAGAAAAGTATCGCATATAAACTCGTGTAAAACATGTAATTATTAAAACCCTACAATGCGTCGAACAATTTGGTCTAATTATCATAATATAATAACTTATACCAGTGGTCCCCAACCTTTTTGTACCTAAGAGCAAATACCAGAATATCGGTCGAATGGCGGGCACCATTTAATTTTTCAAGATAAATTTATAGTTGGTAGACATAGGTAATAATACACACTACATATAGTGTACAAGAAATTTAATTTTCAAAATTAATTAAATAAAAATATAATTAGTACTAATATATTAAAAATATAATTAGTATTAATATTCTTGTGTAAAATAAAGGATTACTAAATTGCTTTCCAAACATATGAAGTATAAAAATTATTTATAAAATACAGTCAATGTGTTGTTTGGCATGGCATTTCGCTGGCCAGCGCTACACAATTGAGAGAATATGATGCTGTTTTCAAAAATGGAATTTATTACTTCAATTATATTCCAAAATTTCTCATGTGATATAAAAGTTTTGAGGATAATATCATTCTGAAGATCCACAATTTCTATCTCCAATTCATCTCGCTTTACTTGAAGAAATTCTGAAATGTATGTTGTTATAACGGTTACGTTTATTTGGTTGGTAAAAGGATTAACAAAAAAGTTATCAAAGGTTCGATGATATTAAATTGGTGAAAGCGCTTTTTAAATTGATCTTTAAGCAATTGGAGGTTGATGACAAATGTTAATAAGTCAATTTCACTGTCACCTATCATTTTTTTCATGTTTAGAAAATGCACAAGACTCATTTTCAAATGTGATATCCACAAAACAAGCTTAGCTCAGAACAAGTTTATAGCTTCTATCATTTTTGATTTATGTTTGTCCTTTCCCTGCAGCTCCAAGTTTAAATTATTTTGTTTTTCCATTATGTCCGTTATGAAAGACAAATCTGCTAGCCAAAGAGCCTCTTAGTTGTAAAAATGTTTGATTTTTGTCTGCAAGATAATTTCTTATTTCTCCAATTAAATGTAGAAATCTTTCAAGTACTTTGCCTTTACTGAACCAGCGTACTTCAGTATGTATTTGCATAGCATTTATTGGAAAAATGGAAAACTGTAATATTTTATCGTTGGGCACAAGCAGCGGGCGCACCTAGATCGATCGACGGGCGCCATGGTGCCCGCGGGCATAGGGTTGGGGACCCCTGATACAATAAATATTCTATATTTATCTAATATATCGTCTAATTTATCCTATCGTCGAATCTATTATCTATGATCTAATTCAACCAATTAATACACGAACGTAAGCAAGTGCAAATCTGTTTCAGTGGCGTAAAAAACAATGCTGTATAGTATCACCTGATAATTAAGATTTTACATAGAATCTTAGAGGTTGTCTAATAATTTGGCCAAGGACTGTATAAGCAAACCTGTGCGACTCGACTCGCGTCTACATGAGCTTTTGTTAAATATTAAAGTATCATCCTTATTGGTTTTTCCATTGTCTTAATGAATCGTCATCTTACATATAGAACTAAATTTTCATGGAGTATACAAACAGTTCTCTCTTTCAAAGATATTGCTACTCTGTTCGTAAACACTGCATCGCAGGTGATGGTGGTCCGCAACTGGTGCTAATTTACTATCCTACGGCTTTTAACGATACGCTCTTTTTTGTTGAAATTTTAAACTTGGCTGTAGTTGGTCAAAATTATAATGCAAGCTTTTATTTCTTCTCTGTTCCACCATTGCGCAAATTAAAAAAACAAAAAACAATTTTAATCCTTTGAGTGTTAGTTCTGGTTTTTCCGAAGTTTAAGATAGGAGCTTTCTCGCCTCAAGAAACCGGTTTTTTCTGTTATTGAATAGGAAAATAGTGCGTAGCAGAAAAATTTCTGCACAATTTTACCCAAGGTCTCAACGTTTGGAGGGTTAAAACAAGTGATTCTAAATAAGAATTAGAACTAATAATTATTTCAAAATGTTGAAAATGCAAATTATTTTGAAATAAAAGCATTTCGTGCAACTTTTTTTATAACATTTCATGAATTATTTTTAATTTTTATTTCTTTAAAAATATATTTCAAAAGCATTTTATGCAAAATTTATTCTAAATTTTACTCATAACTATATTTTTACAAAATTTAAAAATATTTTTAAACATTTTAGTGCATAGAGATATACTATTTTTTTATTACTTTTTAAGAACTTCGTTCATTAAGCAATGGAAGAAGAAAACTTAGATTTAAACTTATGACTCCCACTTTTAGTTTGGTCAAGAATATTGCAAATGAATGGCAGAATGAACAATTAGGTAAAAAACATTTTGAAATTCCCCTTTTAGATTTTTTTCGATGTTAATACGAAAATTTATCAATTAATCCTACCATTAATTCCGTCATCATTTTCAGTTTTAATACATTTTTGGAAAAATTGAATTTTCCCTGTATCGATTCTTTCCTTAAAGAAAAAAGGAAATTTTTTAAACTAGACATTTTGATGAAGTTATTAGAAAAAATATAATCCTGTCACAGTTTATTTCAAAAGTTTATGAAAAAAATTATATTACTTCAAAAGTTTATGAAAAAAATTGCTCCCATTTCTGAGTAAGAAATTGAACTTTTAAAACTTATTTTCATAATTACAGATGATTGGTGAATTTTTAAATCTGGACACAGCTCGAAATGCTTGATTATGAAAACAGATAGCTTAATAAGCGTCCTTTCAATCTTCAACCAAAATTTTACCGCCAAACTCGAAATTACTTGCTTACTTTTCTTTACTTATTTTAAAGCTAAGCATAATAATTACGGGGTGTAGTTCTGGACTTCGGGATTGTTGCAGCTAGATATATAACAATTGTAACATTTCAAGTGATTTCTTCTTATTTAAAACTCAACCATAAAGTGAGATTTAAAAATCTGAAGTGCAACATAATTTACTACCACTATTATAAATTTATAGGACCCGTTACAATCTTGTAAAAAAGTGTACTTTTAAAGTGCTTTATAAAAAAATAAAATTAATCGATGATATCACATTATGAATTTATTTGGTTTAAGTAGTTTATTCTTTAAAATAAGGAACACTACTTTTAAAAGCTTGAAAAACGGAATCAAATGCTTTGTTAATTTTCGTTTTCACGCATTTTGAACTGTGTCCACTTCCGTAAGCACGCGTTTTGAACTGTGTCCAGAATAAGGAGCTCACGGGCAACTAATTTATTTCTAATGGATAAGATGCAACAACTGCTACATAATGGATGGGATTGTTCACATAAAAAACCTTGTTTCATACCAATCATAGAAGACAAGGAGTAAATTATCCTGACAAATCTACTTCCACATATGGTCAAACTAATCCATAATTGCGTTATATGCTGAGGGAACTTTCCGTCCCTTAAACTACCTTACAGAATTGATTAAAAAATGCTTTCGAAAATTAAAGAATAAAAATGACATATTTCATGAAAAAACGCATGAAAAACTAGATTGATTATAATTTTGGCACTCAATATTTGTACCCATAAAAATTTATTTTCAAATAAAGTATTGCAGAAATTTGATTATTCTCCACGTATTAAAATCAAAATCGTTCTGAGGCCATTTGATTTTATAACGCGGCTGATTTTATATACCAGAATTTCTACGATCGTGGAAAGAATGTTTTAAATTTCAACTTCGGAAGGACACTAAAAGCTAAATTAACTACTATTATATTCAATTTCTGCTGACTTTACATTCGGCATTTTAGTTAAACAGGAGTAAAACTTTCAAATTTTTCAGAATGATTTTAAAACATTGACGTATTTTTTTTAGTAAAATTTGAAGTTAAAATTCAACATGGTTAAAAGGTTTATAAAATTTTTTGTATTTTTAAACGTTTCTTTCTTTTTACTGTAAAATTGATTTAAAAATATGAAGCGCTTTTCATCAAACTATTGAAGATTGATTTGCTTTTGAATCATAGATTCACTTTATTGAACGATTGAGTTAGTGAGGCAATGATTATTGAATCAGTGAGTTAGAAAGAAATTTATCAACATTCTAGCCCTGTTAATAATCATTGTTCAAGTTTGATGTTTTATCAAATTATAGTGTTAAAACCATCACCCAAATTGATTTACCTTATTCAACATTTTAATTTCATTCAAAAAATAACTTCTAAAAAACGTCTTGCTTACACCACTTTTAAAATTTACGGCATATAAGTACTGCAATTAAGTATTCGACTCAAATTTTGCATTCTTATTTATGGTCTGAAATAATTGGCTGAATAATTACTGTCTTTTCATTATTACAAACTCTTATTTTAAACTGATTATTGAGATAACTCAGCAAACCATTTTGTCAGTGGGCCACGCATTAAACACCCACACATTCCGAAATTCAGGTTTACTTGAGCTATAGTGAAAATGTTCTTTTTATGTTAAAAGTTTTAAATAACATTTAGCTAGAAATACAGCATAATTTTTCTTATATTTGCTTTTTTAAATTAACAAAGATATCTTACCCTGTGGAAAAATCAAATCCTGTTTCTTGTCGATGGATTTTGAATCTACTTTCCACAAAAAAACCGAAAAAATCACAAACACTTGGAAGAACCACATGATTTCAAATATTTATTTTGCATTGGAAGATTTTATGCTATGGAAAAAGTAAATGGAGAGAACACAGGATAAAAATTCACTGATAAAACAAAATATAAGTATTAAATGCTGAATTGTACGAGTCAATGGATGAGATTTGTGACACGAAGACAGTAGAGTGAGCCTCGAATCGTCAAAACTGTTGCTGTGAGCAAAGAGTTGAAAAAGGTTAATTTTTTTCAATGCTAGATGCCCTCCGAAGCCGAGAGGTATCCGTAGAGGTAGCGGGTTCGAATCCCACCGTAAGTCTGGATATATCTTTAAGCTGTCGTTCTTTAATTTGTGCTGTATGTTCTTCGTATACTTGAATATGATGCTGTTGTTGTAGTTCATTTACGTAGCACTAGAGTAGCACAATGGGCTATTGGCGACGGTCTGGGAAACATCCCTGAGGATGATCCGATGCCATCACAATTTTGATCCTCGGCAGAGGGGATAGCAACCCGCTTCGGCAGCCCGACGAGTTGCACGCGAAGTCAAGCACTTTACAGTAGAACAGTTTCACGAGGACCAATACCTCACACCCTCGGTCCCTACGCAGACTAATCCAAGTGGTCACCTACCCTCACACTGACCGCAGCCAGTGATGCTTGACTTCTGTGATCTTGTGGGAACCGTATCTTAACGACCAGTCCACTGAGGGACTTTGATTAGGATGCATAAGCAATTCTTCGCATCGAGCTCACTAACTAGCATAATATGTGAATATGGAAAAACGTCCTTTTTCTCATTGTTATGTAAACAAACGATTAAGAGTTAGATTAGAGTGATAGTGACAATACCAAAGAATAATCACAACAAGGAGATTTACGACCTCACGAGACTTAGGAACTTAATAATCACAGTAGACAACTACAAAGAGCGCGGTGGTGTGACACAGTGCCATAGATGTCAGAATTAATTTTAATCACGTTCAACACTTATGCAGACATGCTCCTAAGTGCTTAAAGTGCGGTGAAGGGCACTTAACATATATCTGCCAAAAATCCAAAGATACTCCGGCCAAGTGTGCCAATTGTGGTGGCCCCCACCCTTCAAATTATAAACAATGTTCTAAATATCCACAAGTTGAATCCAGACATAGTTACAGCTCCAATAACCAAAATAACGAAGTCTACCGAAATAGAACTGCTCCAACTGCAACATATGCCTCAACCCTTAAAGAAGCTAAGATTCGGGGTCTTCAAAATGCCCAGCAGGAAGACAGAAGTCTGGTCCAAGAAGCACACATAATCCTGAACGAACTTAAAAACTTTGTAGAAATTTTAAAAAACAATGAAGGATTCAATCTAATTCGCCAACTAAAAGCAACAGCAGAAGCCGTAAAATCAACCAAATCCTCAACAACTAATGAATAAAGCCACTTCTCGTAAAGCACCACTTCACATTATAAACTGGAATGCAAATGGAATTTTTAACAAAATACACGAACTTAAAGACTTTATTTCTGAGTTTGACCCAGATATTATGATTATCACAGAGACTCATCTTAACAAACAGCATCACATAAAAGTTGCCAACTATACGACCTACAGGTGTGACAGGAATTTCAGAGGTGGGGGAGTTGCTCTCCTGGCGAAGAATAGCCTAATGACAACCGAATTTAACAAATCTAACCAAGCTGGATATGAACAAATCTCAATTTTTCTTAACTACGATAACAAAAACATCAAGATCACTGGAATTTACAACTCCAGGTAATACTCTCTCAGACGATGACATCAGACAACTTTTCCCAACAAACATGGAGACAATTGTAACTGGAGATTTTAACTCGAAACACACAACATGGGGATGCAACAGAACCAACCGCAACGGACTACAGCTCAAGAATCTTGTGAATAAGCACGCACTCACTGTTATCGCGCCATTATGTCCTACATATCTACCAAACATGAGGAATCAAAGACCGGACATTCTTGATTTCGCTATTTCCAATTTGAATGCACCCATAGCAGCTGACGTTATAAATGCATTATCTTCCTTCTGATCATCCTCCAGTCTACATCTCGATTGGGATATCCTTAACACAGGAGAGTAAGCAGATCACTAGAACTGACTGGAATCTTTTTCAAAATATTCTCACATTAAATAAACCAAACCTTGTTGCTCTAAAGACTACCGAAGAAATTGATGCATAAATTGCTGTTCTTCGGAATGATATAATAACTGCCTATAATAAATCAACTACATAAAAAAAACTCGCTTCAAATCATCTTAAACTTCCACCTGAAATCAAGTTTTTGATCAAACAAAGAAACTGGTGCCGAAAGAAATACCATAAAACTTCTGATCCAGACTACAGAGATGAGATGATTAATCTTAACAAGCAAATACACAAGAAATGTCGTTATTACAGAAGAAGACAATGGGTAGATAAAATTGAATCGCTCAGCACGGAGTATAATTCTGTCTGGAGTATGATAAAAGCACTTCAAGCCACACCTCAAGTGGATAAACCTTTACATAAAGATACCGGGTATGTCTTCACAGCTCAAGATAAAGCTGAAACTTTTGCTGACTCTCTAGAAAAACAATTTTCTCCAAACCCGGACTTCAATCTGAACAATCATAACTTGGTTATCGAAGATGTCAAGCAATTCAACTTAACGCATTCATCTCCAGAGATAATTGAACCGACCAACACCGAAGAAGTTATAAATCACATTAAAAAACTAAAAATAAAAACAGCTCCTGGTTGTGATAATATCAAAAACAAGATGATCAAGCTACTACCAAAACAGTATATAAAACTAATAGTTCATATCTACAATGCTTGCTTTATCTTAGACTACTTCCCTGATGCCTGGAAGAACGCAAATGTCATACTTTTCCTTAAACCCAGCAAAGATCCTACTTTACCTGAAAGTTACAGACCCATCAGTCTCTTGTGCAACTTAGGAAAGCTCATGGAAGAAATTATCTACACAAGAATCAAGCCTAACCTTACTTCACTACCAGATGAGCAGTATGGCTTTCGGAAGCATCTTGACACAACCAAACAGCTCCTCAGAATTGTCGACTATATTGGTCGTGGACTCCATAACAAACAGAGTTCAGCACTACTGATGCTTGATATTGCAAAGGCTTTTGACCGAGTTTGGCATCAGGGTCTCATTTTCAAGCTTATACAACTGAAATTACCATCTGGTGTCATTAAAATAATACAGGCCTACTTACATAATAGAACCTTTCAAGTTAATTTTAAAAACATGAAATCAACAAACAGAAAAATAACAACAGGAGTGCCTCAAGGAAGCACCCTTGGGCCCATACTATTCATACTATTTACCTATGACTTTCCCATCAACAGACAAGACTTTAATAGCATCACAGCACTTTTCGCAGATGATACAGGAATTGTCGTGAAGTCCAAAAATCCCAACATTGCCTTACAGAAACTCCAAGAAAAGCTTACAGAAATAGAAACCTGGTGCCTAGACTGGAAGTTTAAAGTCAATGGCCAAAAATCGAAGCTACTAGTCATTCAACATAAAAGAAAAACTATCCTCCCAAAAATTCAAGTTGTTGTCTTTAACGAAACTATACCCATAGTCAAAACAGCAAAATATCTTGAACTGGTCATAAACAGCAAATTTAATTGGAAAGATCACGTCAAAACAGTTATCAACAAAGCAAAAACAGCCTGCCACAGATTACAAATCCTTCTTCAGAACCCTAAAATGGAACTCAGACTTAAACGTTTACTTTACATCTCGATGATCCGTCCCATCCTAACTTATGCATCTCCAGCTTGGTGCAACATCTCCACATCACTCCTTAAAAAACTCAAAATATGCTAGAATGAAATCCTCAGGAAAATAACAAAAGCAAGATGGTTTATCCGCAATAAAAACATACATCGCGACCTCAACATGGATTTTTTAGATCATCATATTGCAAAGCAAAATTTCAGATTTTTTGATAAGACCATATATTGTGACACAGCAGGATTCAATGAAATTTTTACTTTTGAAAACTTAAGAGAAGACATAAACCTTAGGCCGACTGCAGCTCATTTTAGTAGTGACATAATTTTAACTAAAATGCAAAATATTTAATTTCCTTTTATTCCAATTGCATTTCATATACCAGAAAGAACCACCTTAAAGAATAAATACAAGACGAATGGGAAAAAGGCCGCTAACGGCCCCAGGCGCCCAGTTATATTTCGATGATGATGATAGCTGTAAAAGTTTAAGCTGAATGCTTAACTTCAGAGATGTTTTTTGATTATGACTTACGAAGAAAACATGAATACCTTTGCCAAGATTGAAATTACTTGTCTATTAAAATTCCTTCGGTGCTACGAAAAATTCAAACAACCAGCTACAGATTCAAGAATATTTGAGGTTTGGAGAAATATTTTACTAGTGGTTATGAACTAAAGCAGAAGTTTTCAGACAAACAGAATTATTTAAGAACATATATCAGATCCTCTAAATATTGAACATTTGTCCATCTGATCTTTTTTATACTGCCATGCAATAGAAAAATCAACATAAGCGACAAAAAATTGAGATTTTTATCATGTCATTTTTGTAGGACAAGCTGCATATTGCTAAAACTTCCATTTAAAAAATCAATTTTATTACTTATCAAATTATATTTTAAAATTGATAGAATGGGAAAGAAAATAGTTGTATAGCTGTAATTTTTCACTTTATCGTAAAGCCCTAACGTTTTTCTGAATTGCATTGGCAGTATTACTATTTACATAATTTTTATGTATGTACTTGTGAATAAAATTCTTTCAAATCTAATTTATTGAAACATTAATAAATCTAAAAAACATATTTTCTGAACCTACGGAAATTCCGTAGTTGTTGCAATTATGAAAGGTAGTTTGATAATCAATATACATTCTTATAATTAATTTATGCTTGTTTTATTTAATTTATTGAATTTAAAAATCAAGCAAAATGTCAGGTTTACTATCTATCCACTTTATTCTTGTTCATTTTTGAACTTAATAAAAGCATATTAAATAAGTTCAGCCAATTATTTATTTTTCTAAACTTTAAACCATTGCAACTCATTTTTTTCAGTTCAAAGTAAAATTTCAAAAATATTCGATTTCTATTTGTCGATTATCAAATTAAACTGTTTGATCGTTCCCATTTGAGGCAGCAAATAGTGGTTCTTGAGATTACCATGATTGGCTTAGAAGCGCATTCTTTAGAAATAAAAATTTATTATATGTATTTTTGATAAAATTATATCTTAATGCGCTAATTCGGTAATTATAATAAATCCCGATAGAGGTATTATGAAAAACTCAGTCTAGGAAATAAAAATGTAATGAAAACCATCAGTGTAATTTTAGATGATGCATAAGAAAATACACAATAAACATTTGAAAGAAGAACTTTTTTAGAAAACTTGCAACGTAATCGCAAAACTCATTTTAAGTCAAAACACATTAAAATAAATAAATCAACCTCAATAACTTTTATTTTAATGATAAAATTTTTACGAACTGAAAGCCGTATAAAAACTATTCAAAGGGTGCAATATATGTGTGTATGTATATATATATATGTATGTATANTATATATATATTGTGCCTCAAATATTGTACAGAGCTAATAAATACTAACTACTAAGTTTCAGAATCATATACAAAAATATACTTTCTCTGAAACCTAACCTCTGAATAAACCTTTTTTTCTTCTTCAATAGTTTGGATTTGCAACAGCAAATCTGTTAGGAGGAGGAAAGAGGTAACCTCAAACTAGAAAATAGTTTAGACAGGAGAGCGATTAAAAGTTTAATCCCTTTAATATTTAATTTTTTGTCTGTATTTTAACTTATTTAGGGGACTTTTCAGCGAATCCAAAATATTTTTGCTTAAAATTTTAAAAATAGTTTATCTAAAAATAATTTTAAGCAAACAAATTTTAATAAAAAATTATTTATAAATTTCATAGTTTATTTATTATAGTATATAAGTTTTTACAGCACTTTAAACTATATTATTTTAAATGACGAAATTAGAAGAAAATTGAATAAGTAGTTTTCGATAAATAGAAATTTAGAAATACGGCTTTAAAAAAAAATTTATTGCGTAACTACTCGACAAACTTCTTTTAAATTTTGTCATTTAATATAAAATGGTTTAAAATGACGTAAAAATTCTTATATCTTACAATGTAATTTTTTTCCATTATTAATAAATAAAAAATAATAAATAATTAATAAATATTTATCACTCAAACACAAGTAACATCACCTCCCACCACAACAGCTCCAACTACTGTGTAAAGACTCAGGCACTCCAAGCCCCACTAATGTTATATTAAGTAAATATTCACAATTTCTCTGATAATAGAAGAATACAAACAATTATAGTTACAATTTTCACGTAGACATACATTTTTTTGCAAACTTGAACATCAGAACAAACCTGTTAGTACCATCAAACCATTTATAAAAATTCTCAATAGCTTGATATACATCATAATTTTGGTATATCTTGGAATATATATAGGTCAGCAAATTCAGTTTTTTCTGATGCAAAACCTAAGCCTTTTTCTTGTATTTATAGAAAGTTTTACATAAGAGTTATAACTTACTATAGATAAATGACTAAAAAAATGATATCTACAATTGAATCAGTTATAAGTATTCATTAAATTCACGAAACTTTCTTTGAGTTTCACCAGTGAGCATCAGATTAAAAAACATAAAAATTAAATAGCATAAGTTTTAAGTCAATTACGGCCGTTTAACATGATTTCCGTTACTAGAATCAATAGAAACATGTGGAAATATATGAGCTGAAATTCCAGAAAATTTTGATGAAGAACTTGATCTAGCTGATTCTTCATAACCAGGAGGTGGATCTGGGTATATCACATTGCTAAAATCACAAGAAGTGAAAAATTGTCTTATAGATCCTTAAGTAGTACTGATTCTGTGTAAAGTAGGAATTGCAGTTCTTGAGGACGGACCAGAAATTGGAGTTCTTGATGACGAACCAGGAATTGGAGTTTTTAAAGAAGAACCAGGAGTTAGAGTTCCTGATGAACCCTAACTTTGTGCCTGGAGCATCTAAATTACCGTTTATTCGATTGGTTTGCGAGAGTCTCTCAATCTTGTGGATGTTTTTGGGACCTCTTAAATAGGCAGCGATGAACAATGAAATCAATGAAACTTTCTTGGTAACGCTGGAGAAAAATATGTATATTTGCAATAATATTACGCTTTTTAGAAAAAAAATAAATGGCATAGGTTAAGTCAATTACGACTGTTCAACATGATTTCCGTTTCTAGAATCAGCAGAAACCTGTGGAAATATTTGGGATGAAATTACAGGAAACTGTGACGAAGAACTTGGTCTAACGGATTCTTCATAACGAGGAGGTGGATCTGGGTATATCACATCATCAAAATCACACGAAGTAAAAAATTGACTTATAGATCCATAATTAGTACTGATCCTGTTTAAAGCCGGAATTGTAGTTCTTGATGACGGACCAGGAGTTGAAATTCTCCATGACGGACCAGGAATTGGAGTTCTTAAAGGCGGACCAGGAATCGGAGTTCTTAAAGACGGACCAGGAGTTCTTGATGAACCCAAACTTCGTGCTACAGGAACATCTAAATTATCGTTGTTTTGATTAGTTTGTGAGAGTCTCTCGATCTGTTGGGTGATTTTGGGACCTCTTAAATAGGCAGCGATGAACAATAAAATCAAGGAACCTATTATGGTAACAAGTATGACAGCCAAAGATTCACCAGGTGACATAGTAGCTGAAAATAAATAGGATTAAAAGTTAAACGATAGTGTTGTGTTTATTATTATTTTTTGCTTCATTTTAGAAATTAATTATTATTTATTATTATTTTGCTTAATATTAGTGATCACCCTGGCTAAGCATCTTAATTTTATCTTTCACCTTTCTTTTTTTTAAATAAAAAAAAAACATGGCTGTAAAAAGTACACTCGTAAAGCTTTATGTCATATCTGCAATAAAACATGGTGGTCAAGGCAGTTACACTCCTCCCAAAAACAAAGAAACTAGAAATAAAATGGTTCCAAGAGTTAGTTTTTTAAAAAAATTGGGAAAATCAGGTTGTATTGGATAAATGTTTTAACAAAATCAAAAATATCAGGCTCCAACCTGTCTGACTCTTTAAAAACCAAGCTCTTAAATCCAGTTTAATTTTGCATTTCCAAATAAATGGAAATTGTTTTCTAGTGACGGTGAGTTTAAGAAAGCAAGCATACTTTTTGTGATGCATCATATAGTAAGTTAAAATGTCTAGAAAAATATTTTCGAAGTTTTTTTGAAAGTTTTTTTTTAAAAATTAAACTGTGACAGGCTATCAGTCAAACCGACATGCAGCACTTTTCTAGGGTATTCATGAGTAAGTTTCCTTCAAAATTTCTTTCAAAATTTAATATTTTCGGTCTTACTGTTTGGCTGTTTTACAATGTAATTTCGCAGTGAAAAAAAAAATTGTAAGATGATACGTTATAACAAGAGGTTCAGAAAATCTACAATTGTTTTACAACAAAGCCGTGATGGCTTAGGGGATAGAGCGTTTGCCTTCCAATGAGGTGAACCGGGTTCGAATCCCAGTGATGACTGGTCGAAACGAATTCCGCATCCGGCTTGCGCGAACGACAGTGCTGACGTAAAAATATCCTCAATATCCCAATATCCTCGCGGTCTTCCTCTTCATGTAACCTCAAATGCATGTAAGTTCAATCAAAAAATTTTCCACGAAGGCAAATTTCTCCCAATACTTGATCCAGGGGTTCCCTTGTCTTCTGGATTGGGTTCAAAATTACGAATCTACGGAGTTGAACATTAACAGTCGTAAACCCGAAAATTGGGTCGGCTGTTCAACAACGGTTATAATAAGAAGAGAACAATTTGAAGAAAGGGTAGTGACTTGCCTATATTAATTTCCCCTTCCAAGATGCATTTTTGTCCACAAGAAAAAAATGTTTAATCGACGAAGGAAAATTTGTCCTATCCACCATTATTCCTTTGCTTATTTCGACTCGATATGTCATAAAGTAATCGTAGAAATGTCATGAAATTTTGTCAGGCATCTTTTGTCAGAATTCAACACACTTCTGAGTGGTGGGGACTTTTTAACCTAATTCACCGGCATGCAAAGGTCCAAAATTTCTTGAAGTCAGGAACATTTTGGAACCAATATGTGATGAAATGAAAAGCTTTTTCTTTCTAATAAAGTTGTCAAAAGTATTATATAAAACTTGAATGCAAAGACAAGCTAAAATCACTTAACTTATCTGAGTAATATTTAAATATAGATTTTCGAAAACAAATATTAAATGCCGAACTGATTTTTCTATTTCAACTGCAAATCAACATATTGTGGTCAAAATTCTTCTTCCCCGAGTATGAATGATTCAATTCAAACTATGCAATAAATGTTCGAATACAATTGCATAGACGGCATCTTATCATCATTGAATACAAAACGAGCAGAGAAACAACGCATGACTCTTACCTTGCACAACCCCATGCAATTTTTTCTTGTGGGGATTTGTATAAGATCGTAAGTTTTCAGGATCATGACTGATTTGAAAGCTCGTATTACAGCTGTAATCACCAGCATCAGTACAGATATTTCAGACATGATGTAAAGGAGCACATATTGTACAAAGCGTAGAATAAAAAGCGGACCACGCAGGATAACTTTTGCTCCTAATGATAGCATTTTCAAGTTTTAGGACTCTTAACTCTTACTTAGGACTAAGGACTTAGGACTTACTTAGGACGTACTTAGGATTTAGGACTTGCTCAGGATTTAGTCTCTTACTTAGGACTAGTTATCTTAAAGGTTTGAGGGGGTGACATCAAATATGCTAATTAATTAGGGCACACGATAGTTTAAGTTACGAAATCAGACACAAAATCGTACTTTTTCTGAATAGACATACATTTTTTTCGAAGGATTTTGATTTCTGATCCCCAAATTATAGGGGTATATAGGGAAGTATGGTCCCTATAGTTTGCTTAGGAGTGCGGTTCAAAATTTGAACCCCTTAATGTTAATTTTATTTTTTGCGTATTTCGCCATATCTCGAGAACCTTTTAACCGAATTGAAAAATTTTTGCAAATAACTATAAAATTCGATCATCCAAAGATAATTCCATGAAAAGTATAGCCTTTAATAAATATTTTTTATTATATTTAAGAATTGTCGAAAAAATTTTGAATTATTATTACTATTACCTCATTTTAAAGAATATAATTTTACATGGCAAAATACAAAATTTGAACAAAATCAGTCGAATGTTTCTTGAGAAATCGAATTTTAAATATACCTTATTTTTAAACCCCTTACATTTTGGGGATCAGAAATCAGTAAAAGACGCAAAAAGTAAAATTAACATTAAGAGGTCCAAAATTTAGACCGCTCTCTTGACCAAACTACGGGGACAATATTTCCCAGATTGCAGCTACCACCTTTTATTTTTACAACCTTTTTTTTGTCTGATTTCGTAACTTAAAACATCATCTGCATTAATTAATTAGCATATTTGATGTCACATCTCGAACAATTAAGATTGAGTCCTAGAACGTGAACAGCCGATCATTAGATCAAAAGTTATTCAAGGTGGTCCGTTTTTTTATTTTGCGCACTGTACATTTGTGAGAAATACTCGCTTACATTACCTTCGGAAAATTTTTAATGAATACATTTATTACATCTTGCGTAGTGCATCTATGAATTTGGTGCATTTATTTTGACTTACCCTGCATTTATATTTGCATGTTTTTAGAAATTGTTCAATATGCAATTAAAAATTTATGGACCAGTCTTTTTGTAGGTTCCTCAGCGACCGGGTTTCAGCGATTTGTAGATCCCTGTATATATTTGATTTTAAATACGAAATAATAATTATTTTTGCATATATCCAGTATTTACTTGAAAACAAATTATTCTTCAAAAAAATGCAGTTATATTTTAATAAACTATTATTTTTTCACGCCTATTTATAATAAAATTTTAAACTGCTTGGTAAAGACTGACTTTTTCTTTAATCTTTCGGTAGCACTGATCAAACTTTTAAAACAAAGTTGTTTATAAATTTAGGACAATTTATATATATAGTATATGACTTACAACATTGAGAAATATGCTTATCAAATTCATCACTTAAATCTCCACAATTATTATGTCCATCACAAGCTAGACCTTTCCAAATGCAGTTATGATTACGGCAGCGTTTTTCATCTTTAAAGCAGAACCCTGCAAAAGAAGAGCGTATTTTGGAAACACTAAGCAAAATAATATGCAATAATGACAAAAATAAAAATAATTCTTTAAAGATTCTTGTCAGTTTCAGGGGCTGAATTTAATTGTGAAACAGCTGACATTTCAGTGATAACTTTACTTGTGTCGTTCGACTGCTTAACCGGTTATCTCCAAAAATTTAAATTTTCTTTAAAATTTAAATTTAGATAAACTTTTTGATTAACTGAATACAAGAAACCACAGTGAATTCGATCAAATGTTGTTGCTCTTGTTGCCATAGGCAAGGGATGCGATTAGTCTTGTTTTCCAGTGGCTCCATCCATGGCCAAGAATTCGACTTCTGTCACACCCATTTATAGGGCGGACCCATTCATACACCCATTCATTCACCCACAGATCATTAATATGGCTAAATAACGCTGATTTAAAATTGCTTTAAATACTATCGGTAGTAACTAAAAGGCTATTAATGTCTCACAAATACTTAGTTTGAAAAATTAGAATACATGTGCAGGAACTTGAAGGTCAAGAGGGCAATTCCATAAAGTATATTAAACAGTAGATCAGTAAGAAAGGAGGTAACTAAACGAAGAAACAACAAATTACTTACCATTCCTTACTGCTGTAAATGTCAATTGAAAGGATGCTTTTTTCTGAGAGGTATAATTAGAGGTGTGAAATGAGATTCGCGTATCTTTCCTACTAATATAAGATTGAAATTCAAATTGATCATGACTGTAGCCACAAAGTTTCACCAATCCATGATGTTCAACAGGAGAAATCTGTATAGAAAAACATATTCTATTTCAAGTAGCTCTATTAATGCAGTTTTTGTGTTTAAAAACAATAGCCTTACTATAAAACAATAATGAACTATAATTAAAAAAAATGATAAAGAAATCGCGGTTGAAAATTTCTGATTATGAGTAATGTATAGCATTTTGTCACTTTAATTAAAATAATTGTGGTATACAAAGAACATCATACTTAAATATTTTTTGCTACAAATATTTTGGACAACCTTTCTAGATTTGGTAGTTTTGTTAAATTATTTTTTATTTTTTTGAGATAACATTACCATGCTCTTAAGATTTTCAAATTTGGCTGATCTCCTATGATTTAAACAGTTACATTTATACTTTAGATATCATAATAATGAACATCATAATAATTGTTATGTTCTAACCTGAATATTTAAAGAGTTTGCTTAAGGAGCCCTTCTCCTACTATTTTTGAATTGTGCTTTGTATGAACTCTTATCAGTTCTAAATAATTTATCTTACCAACTAAAGAACTCTGATTTTTACTCATTCAATTTAGAGTAAAAAAATACATAGAAAAAGATACTTTATTTGTCTAAATGGTCCACTACAGAGCCGTTTTATCCATTAGGCACTGTAGGCAACTGCCTAGGGGCCCCGCCACGTTCAGGGGCCCTGTGCTACAGAGAAAAAAATTGACAATGTTTCTTAAGCAGTAAAAATTTAATTCGAAATTTCAATGACGATTGTCTTGCTCTGTACATTACATCGACGCTATTTTAGTACATTTCTGAACGCATTCCAAATTAGATATTAATATTATGGTAGTTAGTTCATATATAACGCAGTAAAATAATCGCAAGCAATTTTATCGTGGTAATTTTAACGCCGACTAATCAGATGACTATACAGCAAGAGCAGCTTTTTTAACACAACACGCTTGAAAAACGCGCAAAATTCTACGTTGTGAATGCACACTTACTGTTCTGGTACCTACCATAGGTATGTATATTCTATGGCCAAGCTACCAAAGAGTATGTAAAAATAAGGTTGGCAGTACTGGTTCTTTCGTCGCATGACTTGGGAATTCCCCGATCCGCTAAATACATACGTTGTAGTGTGTCATAGACAACATTTTTGAAACATTTTTAATGTAATCGTTGAATTTTCACTTCGTGCAATTTGTTTGCGAGTTTTACGGCTGTGAATGAAAAGAGAGTTTTACAGTTTGTGTTTCNTATTGGTAACATGGCACAATCAACTTTCCCGAATGTAATGACAGCTTTGCAAATATATAGAAGTCTAATGATTACAAACGCCACTGGTGAACGAAAATTTTCCAAATTGAAATTAATTAAAAACTGTCTTCGTTCAACTATGTCTCAAAACCTTTTAAATTCATTGGCCATAATGCCAATTGAAAATGATGTATTGGAAAAGGTTAACTTTCAGGATGTCTTGAACGATTTTGCAACAAAAAAAGTTAGAAGAGTTAATATTTAAGCTTATTGTATGATTTTTTTTTTAAATGCATATATTAATTACTTATATTCTTTTCGTTTGATTCAATATTTGTATTGAATAATGTGATAATATACCTATGTAGTAAAAAACAGCGTAATTATGTTGTGTTAGCGAAAAAATATATTAGGAAGTTAGAAGACGGTAGGGGGGGTGGCCGAGACGAGCATTGCCTAGGGGCCGCGACATGCATAAGCCGGCCCTGGTCCACTAGATAACTTATTAATAGGATATCGGAAGAATTCATCATTGGCAAAAATGCGCATAGTGAGCTATCGTTCGGGTAAGTGATAAGATTGGCACATACGTTGTAAAAATTGTGGTATAATACCTATTCAAACTTGTTGAAAAACTTTAAATTGTGTGTTATTTCAAGTAAATACCGTACAGAGCTTTCATACACACTTTAAAGGCTGTAGTTAAATCTAAACTCGAAAAAAAAAATTAGACAGTTACCCCAAGATAAGATGCATTTCTTCCATTTATGAATTATTTTCGCCAATTTTGGGGCATCGAAACCGTCAGACGATTAATATTCCTCGCTTACAATCGAACAGAAAAAGTGAAAGTTTGATTTTGCCTCGTCTGATGAACAACATTCCACAGAAGTAGAATGTTATCAAAAGTCATGAAAGCTTTTAGTTGTATAACGTTTTCATAAAGAAGATATACATAATTCTGTTAATTTTTATTACTAATTGTATTAAATAATTTCGTAATATTTTATTTCCTCTTCCGTAAGCCTAGTTCGAATTCATATTAATATTCTCTCTGTAATGTGTGTTTGTTTAATTAATTTTATTTTAAGAAATATTGTATAAATGCATCCTAAAATAATGATTTATACTCTGTATTGTGTTATAAAAATAACGTTAGTGACTCTTATGTGTATCATATATTGATTATAAATTTTAGTGTACTAAATAAAAAAATAGAAATGGCTCGGTTACTTTACATCAAGTAGTGTAAGAAAACAATCTTGGTGTAGTGAAACACGTATGAGTTATGTATGATGTTTTACTATACCACTTTGGTGTAAAGTAGTTGCCACCATTTTTGGTGTTGAGATTCACTAAAACGTAGTCATAGGCAGGGATAGCCTGGTCGGTAGTGCGCTGGGCCCATGTCCGAGAGTTCGGGGATTCGAACCCCGACTTCCGAAGACTCCTCGTGTAGTTGGTGACTGATGCACGTTAAAATTCTGTCGAGTCGCAAAGTCCTCCATGTTCCCATAACAAATCAATACCTTTGGGGGGTACTGGATTGGAGATCGATCGTTCTCTGACTTAGGTCAAAATTACGATCTGTTGATGAATGAATGGATGTATGAATGGGCCCGCCTTATAAACAGGTGTGACGTATGGTGAGGCAGAAGTCGAATTCTTGGCCATAGATGGCGCCACTGAAAAACAAGAATCGCACACTCTGCCTTAAATTTGCTCGGTTTCACCAAGCAGGCTTGCCCGTGAGGTAAATGGAATTAGAACCAACCAACCAACAGTGTAGTCATTCGAGCAACCACGCTTTTCATGTGCAATTTTCATGACATAGAGTTTTTTGTTAGAATTTGACCGATTTTTTAAATTCATTTTCATTAAAGTAAATATATAGGGTATAAAAAATATTAAAAAAAATTTACGAACCTCTACATAGTTCTCACAATCATCTGTCATAGGTTGTAAGTCAATATTTCTAATACTTATAACAACACCATAGGAAAGTGGTGCTCTTAAATAAATCGAACAGTTTAAAGCAGGTTCATAAATGCTACTTTTACCACTCATTAATATCCCAGATGAATTTCGAGAGAATGATCCGATATTTATTTCCACTAAATTACCAGAGCAACTTCCTGATTCCTTCATATAAACTAGAAATATAATTTATTTTCAATTTAGTTATTGACATTAATTCCTTTTAATTAAATAATTATTCAAAAAGTAAAATTTCAAAAAAATTTTATTACACATATAAATTTAAAATCTTTCTTGGGTTGGTTTTTGGTTAAGTTTAAAATATTTTTTAACCAAATTTATTATGAGTTTAATTGATGACCTCATAAGCACTAAATAAAACATATAAACAGTGATTTTGATGAATAGGATTTCTTTATAACATTGTTTCTACTTCATTTCGTTGGTCAGGTTTCTCTAGATATAGCTCGAAATGCGTTTTTAAGAAAATGGACACAGTTCGAAATGTGTGTATATGAAAATGGACACAATTCAAAATGCGTGTTGACGAAAATGGACACAATCCAAAATGCCTGTTTAGCAAAATGGATACAGCAAAAAATGCGTATTTACGAAAATGGACATAGCGAAAAATGCGTATTTAAGAAAATGGACACAGTAAAAAATGCTCCGTTTCAGTTTTCAACCCAAGTTTTAGTTAAACAACTAAACAAGGAATTACGTGCTTACTTTTCCTTACAAATTTTAACACGAAGCAAAAATCAATGCGGAGCAAAGTCTCGGACTTTAGGGACGGGGTGGGTAGGTATAATACAGTTGTAACTTTTCCCGCGATATCTTCAGAATACTAAAGGTTAAGGGGGATTTTAAAAATATAAACTTGTATAACGTAAATTTAATACCCCTATTATAAATTTATAGCATTCGTAGCAACCCTGTGAAATAACTATTGACTGCAAAGTTTTCTACGTAGGTAGGTACTTCAGTTACGTTGCACTAGAGCTGTACAATGGGCTATTGGCGATGGTCTGGGGAAAACATCCCTGAGGATGATCCGAGGACATGGCCATTGCAATTTTGTTCCTCTGCAGAGGGGATGGCTCCCCAGCTTTGATTGCCCGACGACCTGCACGCGAAGTCGGGCATTTTACGGTAGAACAGTGTTGGCGCATGCGCGCTATTCCCTAACGGAACGAGATTAAATCATCACTTCTCCTATGAGACTCGATAAACATTAGATGTGGATAAATACCTCTTGAACCCTTTCGAAATCCACAATATCTCCAGCTGTTGTTATTGTTTATACCTAATGTTGTTGTTGTTAATAAAAAACAAAAAGTGCAGCTGGTGGTCCGTCGTTATTTACTAAATTATCAAGCGTGTTGGTTTTAGGCTGACAAACAGTTTAACGAGGACCGATGCCGGTCCCAACCAACACCTCCTACACCCGTATTCACCACGCCGAGTTAAATTCAAGAGTAACTCGGGGATCGGAATATCCACGGTTCAGAGTTACTCTCGGATTAACCCTCGCTTTTTATTCTCCAACCGTTTTCAACAGAGGATTTCACAACTCGAGTTTAACTCTTGGAGGAAATATAACGAGGCTTTTGATTGGGCAAGGTAAAACCATGTGACTTTGTATATAATATAAACACGTGCTGTTATATAATATAAACATGTTATTTGCTGGTTTCCAAATGCATAAAATCTTACAGCAGTTAAAACTTTTTCCGTTGGAGTTAAGGCATTGTTCCGATCTGTATCAGATTCCAACTTACTGCCAATTTTGAAGATCAGTTCTTCAATCGTCGGTTTTAAGAAACGATATCTTTCAAAAAAGTCTATTTCATCTAACTCTTCTAGGTCATTATTTCTGATAGTTGGGACATATCTTTCCCTTCTTTCAACAGTTTCAAGAAATTCAAGATCTTCAAGCTCAAACGCAGCGATAGAATCATTCATCTTGTTTGTTTACAAGCTCCTCGTGAATAGGTTACCCTCCGATAACTCGGCAAAAACGGCGGGTTACCCGGAGAGTCAGAACTGTCGATGAAATCTGCGAGTTTGGCGAAATTTCGGCTGGAGAATAACGTTTCGCACTAAACTCGTGATTTTACTCTTACCCATACCCTCCAACTGCTACGGAATTTCCGTAGTTTCAGAAATCTTCTTTTCAGACGGTAGCAAAATTATTGTCTTAATATTTAAAAAAAATTTATTTTAGCGTAACTTGTCCACTATTACTTATAAAAGTGCAGGCCATATGGCTAGATTCTTAAGTTCTGATAAAAGTTTTATCAGAGATCCATTTGCTTTAACAATTTCTACTTTGGTTCGCTACCACTAGAAAGAATTATTTTCAAAATCCTCATAAGTTGGAGGGTATGCTTACCCATTGATTACCCGGAGGTAATCCGTGTTGGTGAATACGGGCGCTAGAAGTAGAAAGGCCTCAGCACGGATCAATTTAGTAGTTCGATGTGATGAAGTTAACTACGCAGTAGACGAAAAATAAGAAAGATGTCATTACGTTAGGGGTACTAAGCTGCGCAGTGGTTGAAAATACAACATATGTCATTACGTTTGGACTACTAAGGGATATTTATGGTAACCCGTGCTGAGACCTGTTCTTTCTAGGAGGTGTTGTCCCAACGGAAGGCTGATCCAAGCGGTCACCCATCCTCTTACTGACTACAACCAGTGATGCTTGACTTCGGTGATCTACTAGGAACCGTGTTTTTACGATCACTGCGGGACGTAAAGTTTTTTTTTTTAAAAAAAAAGTAAAAAAAGTGATTTATACTAATGGACCATATCACAATACAAATTTATTTGGATTCATAATTTTTTTTCTTTAAGAAAAGAATAATACTCGAACTTAGAAAAACAGAATCAAATGCAACGTCCATTTTCTATAACACGCATTTCAAACTGCGTCCATTTTCTGTAACACGCATTTCAAACTGCGTCCATTTTCGTAAAGACGCATTTCGAGTTGCTTCCATATTTAAATTTTGCAGACGAAATATTTCTTCCCATTCAAATCACGGTTTATAAAAATATCAGATTCGTTACTACTAATACTAAACCCACATACCACTCAGATTCATTACCAATGCCGAAAATTTTAGTATTGTTTTTTGAAATATTAGTATTGTTTTTTGAATTCTTATAATTAAGTATTACTTTTTTGTTTCACAAATTTTTACAAACAATGAATTAATTTCCATCGTGTTCAGACTAAAATTTGTAAATTCCTCATCACCTCTCTCAGCCGCTGCGGTTTTTCTAGTTTTGATTTTCTTCCTTATTTTCCATGTTTTCTCGTTGGTAATTTTGCGTTCTTGTTTCAAATCACTTTTGTTTTCCTCATTCCAGTCTGGCGAGTCCTGAGAATGGGCACCTATATTTGAGCACAGTTAGAGTGTAGAATAGGGTGCCCATCATATTGCAAATTGTTCATCAAAGATTTTACTCTATATAAAAACTACCATTTTCCTAATATTTCTATATTGAATACTTATTTCAGAAAATATCACTTATTAAGTTATTTTTCCTGTTTTTTGTAAGAGTATAAAAAAAAAATTACCCAAAATAAAATAGGAGAACAATTGTTACCGCAAGCGCTCGAAATATATCTTCATATTTTTTGAAGCAAATGAAGTTTTTATATCATCAAGCATATCTTTCCACTTGGGATTATTCCCTTAATTTGAACCTTATTTTATTTCGCAAAACTGTTTGTATTATAACAATTATTTAAAACTATTCTATCTGGTAAACTACATAATTTCAATACCTACATTTAAAACTTGAAGAAAATTGAATTAGTTCAATGGTTTTTAAGTTACAAAAATTTTAAGTTAATTAAATTTTAAGTGACTTTTTTAAGTCAAAACATTGATTTTTAATTTTTCAAGAACATGCATTGGCATTATTAAATAGTGTACTAAAATTTCAATGGATAAATTTTGTAAATGTCCATTTTAAAGAAAGTAATTTTCATCGAACATGGCTCAAAAAGTATGAACTAAAAGTATTTTTTAAAAAAATACTTACGAAAAATATTTGGGATTATTTTCAAAAATTACCCAAGTTTGATCTCATTTTCTTTTTCTTTCATTGATCTACAGTTTCGATTTCTCAGGCAAGCCACAATCGATGCGAATAAGATGGGATATTTACGCTACATGCATCAAAACTACAATTCCAGTATTGGCTGGATTTACGGTCATTTTATCATGCCACATACACACACAATCCCCGCAATTTTACACTAACCCCTGTTTCCTGCTCAGGCACACCTTTCGAGCGATTAGAAGGGAGGTTGACGTAAAATATCCTCAGTTGTGGACGGATCATGAATTAGTGGCCCCTTGCCATCGGTCTAACCGTGAGAGGTTTTTGTGGTTTTTCCTCTCATTGTAACGCAAATGCGGGTTAGCTCCATTGAAAAATCTTCCTCGAAAGCAAATTTCTCCCAATACTTGATGAAGGAGTTCCTTTGTCTTCTGGATTGGGTTCAAAATTACAAGGCTACGGAGTTGAACATTAGTAGCTGTAAACCAAAAAATTGGGTCGACTGTTCAACGACGGTTATAAGATAAAATATAAGATTAGGAGGGAGGTTGGAAAACACAGGTGTGAGGAAGAAAAGTATATACCACCACCAACACTTCATGGCCTATTGCATATTTGTGGCAATGTGGTCAGCATTACGTATAAGCCACCTTTACTTCCCAAACAAGCTGGTACCAATCGATCTGAAATTTAGTGGGCTTCGAGCCGCCACTGCGGCTCGAACCCCTGTCCTACAAAATAATAGTTCAGTGACTTAACCGCTGAGCGTTCCCACAAAATATTTCACACAGATGTTTTTAAATGTTTGATTCTATGCGATTTCTTTTCCAACATCATTTATAACACCAACATTAACTTATGCTTACATATTTATAAATTCCATTCATTATTAATTATCTCTTTAATTACAAATAGAAATATCCATTTTTAAAATTGTTATAGATATCACTTTTTAATTATTTTTGAACTAGTTTATAAATAAGGTGTTGTTAAACGAACCAAATTAAGAATGAATTAGAAAATATTTAAAAACAACTTCAATTTTACTTACAATGGTGCAGGGTTTAATCCCCATTATAATCAGAATTTGTCAATTATTGGCTAACGTGTAAACAACAATATGTATGGAATCTATTCAATGGTTTGCATAGAAATATCCTGAGTCAATGTTATTACTACCAATAATTTCCTATCAATTGTAATTCTTCATTAACTTGTTCTCAAAGCCGGAATGCTGTTCCGGTACTTTTTAGGCAGAAAATGGTTCTGGTACTTTAGGGAACATGTTTTTCAATTTTACCTTATTGTAATAACTTTTTTTACTACAGAAAAAAAACAAGTTTTAGTACAAACAGTTCGTAATGCTAATAAATTGCAAAGTAATACTCGTGATACTATCTAATTGTTTCTCAAATATCCTAATAAAAGTTAGAGTGCTAGTGCGCATAGCACATTTACATTTATATATTACCTAGCTATATATTTCTATTTTATCTATATTTCTATTCCTATAGTGATTATGAAATTTTTTCCTTTATAATTGCTTCTAAAAGTCGTAGTAGAAAAAAAGTAGCTTTCAGTAAAGTTTTTTTAATTTGTCAAGCAGTTCAATATATTAGTTTTATATCCATAAATCTGTAACGTAAATTTTTAAGAGAGAAGAATTGAATATGTAAATAAGAATATTTAAAAGTGCTTTTCGGCGACTATATTCAACCAGAATATGAAAATAAAACAACGAAATTTAAGTAAATAAAACTAATTTTTTTAGATGATTTTATTATTGATATTTAGATTTCGGGATATTAGTTTGATATATTTTTTAAAATTTCTTACAATTTTATATTTGATTTTCTTCTTGTGTTTCAGGAAAAAATTGGTTAATGATTGATAGTGAAACGTTCTTGTTTATTTAATACGACTTAAGGGGATACTTTCGAATGGAATGAAATGTTTTAAGTAGTATCCAAAATGTTCTATTTGTAATTAGAGATTTAAACTGATCATTTATTGCTCGTCATAAACGAGTTCATTATTAAATTTGAACAACAAAAACTGTCATTTATTCTGCTAATAATATATAGAATGAAATTACTTACAAATTCGGTAACCGAAAACATTGCTAATGTTCCACAATATAAAAATAATGGTACGTAAAAATCCCCTTTTCATGTTTTGTTGTTTTTAAAGATTTATTTATTGAATATTTAAGGTATATTTTTTCTGTGTAAACACACATGACATCATAAAAAAAAGGACATCACATTGAATTGTTGATAAAACTTCTCATAATATCTAAAGCTTTGGATTTTATCAGCTTTTATAGCTGATAAGATCTCTAATTTCAGTTTGATTAATATCTATTTATACGGCGTAAATTTCATGAATCATTCATACGTATCGAAACAAAGTATCGCTATATTATTATAAAATACATTGGCAAGGAAAATATGGTTATTAATTTCTTTTATATGTTATTGGTTTATTTATTTAAATAATAACAAATAATGCTGGTTATATATATATTGATTTCTCACACATATCAATAAAGTTTAAAGCCTTTAGAGGGTTTGAGAGACCGAAACAGAATGTTTCTAAAGAACCTGAGACAACAAATGAAGCGATTAGCTTGTAATTTATATCAATTACGTTGTTTATCACACGCAATAACTGATCAAAACTTCGCAAACCTTACTTAAATATTCATCGAGATATAGAAATTTTTATAAAAAAAAACCTAATATTTTTGCCTTGCGTTTTTTACTATAACTGCAGAAATACTCAATTAAAAAAAACTTTAGAGTAATTTTTAATTAAAATAAAAATATTTTAAAATTTAAAAAAAAATCATTAAAAATTGTGCAAAATATGTGTGCATGCAAGAAGCAAGAGTGTTTAAACTAATGCTTTCATAAAGAGCGAAAAAAAATTTTTTTCTCTTAGTTTTATTCTGAATCGTACCAATTTAAATCGAACTTAGGAAAATAGATAGCTCTAAATGATAGAGTTTTCCACGAATCTCACTTTGTATCATATAGCAAAATTTAATAACGAATGACAGTAACTAAAAAGGACGTCCCAGACAACAAAATGTGATATAATGGGCGAGAAAACGTGTGAAATTAAACATAATTTGATAGGGGGTGATAATATATAATGCCGATGTCATTTTCAATAAATTATTTTTAATAGTACAAAAGCAAACTTGTTGGAAACCCCTAACCATTCAAAGCTTTCTTTCCAAATTTAAAAAAACTGTTTAAAAAATTGCTAGTAACTTTTATGATTTTCAAGACATTGAATTCAGATATTTTTCGTACTCACCAAATGTGAATGAACGAAAATTGCGGGAAAAAAAATAAAAATGTTTTTCGTGCATGCGTGGTTTGAAAGGAGGACTTAAAATGCTCATCATATCTTACGGAATTTATAACGAATTTTTTTTTCAAATTTTAAAATATTTTTGCTATTAATTGAGGCAAGTTACAAGCTTATCGCTGTAGTTTTTGGCATAGGATGTTCAAAAACACTATTTTTCGTTCGCCATTTATTGCCGATTTCTCTCGCTAAAAGCTTTAAACTTAGTTAATATGTATGAGAAATCGCATGACCTTAACACTTTCATAAGTTATAGAAAAATTCTCAGAATATTTCTTGACAAATATTGAAGAAAATTAGTTAGTATTTAGAAGGGTTTCCAACATTTTGTACAACCCATTCTATAAAGTTTTAATGGACCTTCTTTTATTTGCAAATAACTGAGCATAAAAAAAGGAACACACGAACTTGCTGTTTTGTCTATTTTTAATTTAAAGAATTTAAATAAAGTATGATTGTTATTAACTTATTAATGCACGTGTGCCAAATAAAAATAATAATGATAATTAAAAAACAAACGGACCACCCTGAATAACTTTTTATCCTAATGATCAGATCTTCACGTTCAAAGACTCAATCTTACTGGTTTAAAGGAGGGACTGCAAATATGATAATTAGTGCAGACGATATTTTAAAATACGGAATCAGGCACAAAAACATACTTTCTCTCGATGAACATACCTTATTTCGACGTATACACATTTCTGACACCCAAAATATAGGTGTTAGTCGCAATCTGGGAAATATGGACCCCATAGTTAGGTCAAGAGAGCGATCCAAAATTTGGAACTCTTAATGTTAATTTTTGCGTACTTCACTGCATTTCGAGAATTTTTTTAGTGAAACGAAAATTTCAGTGAAACGAAATTATAAAATACGTATATCCAAAGATAATTCCATGCAAAAAATATTTTTTCGTAAAAAAAATCACAATATTTTTTTTTAAAAAAAAAGTCGTATATTTAAAATTTGATTTCTCGGGAACTATTCAACTGATTTCGCTAAAATTTCGTGTTTTGCCATATAAAATTACAAATTTTAAAATGATGTAAAAAACTGTATACGTTACAATTCAAAAAATTTTCGAATATTATGAAATAAAAAATATTTACTAAAATTCATTTTTCGCATTGAATTATTTTTGGATAAACGAATTTTATAATTGTGTTCAAAAAGTATTCAATTCGCTTAAAGTTCTCAAGATATGGCGAATTACGCCATATCTCCATAAATAGCGAAATACTCAAAAAGTAAAATTAACATCAAAAAGTCCAAACTTTGGATCCCTGTACTGACCAAACTATGGGGACCATATTTCCCAGATGGCGGTCAACCCCTATATTTTGGGGGTCAGAAATCCGTATCCGTCGGAAAAAAAGGTATGTTTATTAAGAGAAATTATGTTTTTGTGTCTGATTCTGAAATTTAAAATATTGTCTGCACTAAGTAATCAGCATATTTGCAGTCATTCCCTTGAACCATTAAGATTGAGAACTAGAACGTGAAGATCCGATCACTACATAAAAAGTTTTTCACGGTGGTGAGAGAATAACATGCATAGATTGCAAGAGTGTGGCACACAGTCAGTTTTTGTCAGAGTTACTTCCTGATATTATAGTCAGAGCGCTTATAACTGGAATTCAAACGAGATGTGCTCTATCTCATGCACATTATTGACACAAATGCACATGCTTGAAAACTAGAAATACATATTTGTAGAAAATGATTGAAAAAGATACTTATTTTATGTTTTTTGACAAAAATGATTTTGAGAGAATAGATGTGCCAACAATTCAGTCTGTTTTACTCACTAAAACAGTGTAAAAAAGTTGCACAATTTCCGTCCCAAACCATTACCTACTCACTTGTTAAAACAAATAGGTCTTCTGTCATTATGAAATCAATAAATGTCTAAGTACAGTATTTATGACTTTTCGGTTAAAATAATCACAAAGGGTAACACACATAACATACTGTTAACACACGAAATGCATTTTCCACAAATTATAAGTTTTTACTGTTAGAAAACATTTTAAAAAATCAGTAAGCACATCGTTGATATTATATCTCGCTACAAAAGAAAATATCTTAATTTTACACATTTATACTTCACAGAATTAAATGAATATATTCAAAGTTTCAAATATCGAACATTATAAAAGGTAACACGTAATGAAATTTCAGAATTATTTTTTCCAAGATCAAATTAATTTGTACCTTAAATTTTCTTTCTCAAATTTAAAACACACGTATATTTAACAGCTAATTAAGAAAACCATGAAAAATATCTAACAAGTTTATTATAAAGGGTTTTAAAATTGAAAAATGTTGTTTAAAACAAACACACTTAACAAAAGAATCGCCCCAAAAATAGATTTTAAAAAATATAAAAACATAAGATGTACTTAAATTACTAATCCAACCACATAATGTTATAGCTTTGAAATTTTAAGAAAAATCTGTTCAAGTTCTAAAAGTTACCAAGTACTATTGCTTCTAATCTAATAAAGCATAGTCTTTACTATCCACCTTTTTCAATTGGCGCAACTTGTCTTTTTGGACCCCCTACATTCAATTCAATACCATCTTTCTTGAAAGGTATAAATAATACTGTTAATGTACTAAATGTTTGGAATGTTACTGCCTTTACATTCTTTTCCAGCCTTTTTGAAAGGTACAAAGTAATACTGTCCCAATAGAAAATGCTAATGTATTAAATGTTTGGAATGTTATTATTGCCTAGAAAGAATGGAACTCAGTCTGTCAATTCGAACAATTTTATTAACGCTCTTCAAATGTACAGGAAACAAAATAAATGCTGTTTCCACTGAAAAAGTATGAAATTATGTACACGCAATGAGGAAACAGAAATGATGTAGGGGAATGTTCTATTTAAATAACAAAATAAAACCTTAAATATATTATGTACATATTTAAAGAAACTGACATGATGATAGACTTTAGGGGAGCACTGAGCACAGAATCACAGACCTCCGTCTCTCGAGTTCAGGGCCTTCAGGTATACTGAAACACTTCATGCCATATTAACCTGAAATTGTGAGGAAAGGGACCATTTCAAAAATGTTGCTGCTTGAGCAATCCTGACAAGTTGCAATGAGAAAAATATAAAAGTGTAACAGATTTTAAGAATTATAAAGCCTTAAATCTCAGAAAAAATATTTTTGTATACTTCAAGAACATGACTAGCAGTTGGCCTTTGCAAAGGATCTACACTTTTGCATTGCTTATGAATAGTAAATAATTTATATTTTATGAAATCAATGCTGGAACTGTTACCCAAAAACCAATTACAAACATCTGGTATTTTCCAAACATCAGTCTTTTCATCATATGATATCATTCTTTCAGGATCATACTCATAATTTGGAAAAGGCCACAACTGTTCTGGAGCAACAAATGTTCCACTCAATAATTTATTACCACAAATTACACCCTTGTTAGTATTTTTTTGAACCTCAGGTGTTGCATCTAAATCATTAACCAATATTTCAAAACTATCAGTCAATAAATATTGGGATAAAGTTTTTTCCAAAGAATTAGAGTCACACATAACTCTAACCCCAACAGGACTCGAATGCAAAAATTCTATCACAGATGCATAACTAATACAAAGATTTAAACGCATTTTAATATTGTCAAAGGAACGCAAAGAATGTCTTAAATGATAATTTGCATTTAAAGCACTTCCAAATCTATAATATTTTGTAACTATAGAGTTATTACAAAATCCAATTAATTCCACAACTTGATTATGTGATGCAAGAGATTTTATCATAAAAAGATTTTGTTTGAAATCTTCCTTATAGATTTTTGATGATAGCACTGAAAGTACAACTTCATAATTGGACCATCTTGCCAAATAAACCTGAAATATAAAGCAATTAATTCATTTTTACATAGGAAATGATAAAATACAATTAAACGTTATTACATACAATTAAACGTTAACAATAATACATCAAAATCAGATAACTAATTTTCTGAGGTTATGCAGAAATGATTGGCTTAACCTCTTATAAGGTAAAACAATGCAAAACCAGTGGAATCAACAAAAGGGGATAGCTTAAATAAATGTTGTTCTAACAATCAGATACTTTTTCCCTAAAAAACAATGTTAATGGTCTGATGAACTGAAGTAATCTTATTGATTTGTGCTAATCATCAAAAAAGTAGCAAAATCAGACACAAAAATGTACTTTCTCAGAATAACATACATGTCTTTTTTAGGAAAAGCAGATGCATTAAAAGAATACACATGCTTTACATGCATACATATATACAAAAATTTGGATTTTTGACTCTCAAAATATGGAAAGTAGCCACAATCAGAAAAATATGGTCCCAACAGTTCAGTCAGGAGAGTGGTCGTTAGTTTGGGCCCTTAATTTCACTTTTGGTTTAATTTGCCGTATCTTATAATTTTTTTTTGAACAATTATAAAACTCTTTTATCTAAAGGAACTTTTTTGCAAAAAAAAACTTTTAATAATTAGTTAATAGTTAGTTTTTAATATTTCATTAATAAATGGCCTAAAAATTTTCTGCCGTAAGATACACATATTTTTACATAATTGTAAGCTAAATAATTTTAAATGACAAAATACAAATTAAAAAAAAAAAAGTCTTAAAAATACGAGGGTTGTAAATTAAATAGTGGCAACTTAACCTGGAAATTCACAGAAGGGCGGGCATGTGCAAATGGGATATGGGAGCGGTGAGGTGGCGCTGTTGTCGATGTGTAGAGTGCAAAAAACAGTCGATCTGCTTATAAGGGTAGTTGCTGTGTGGCGTTCAAGTGAGGAGTTTCATTTCCATCGCTCTAAAGCACGTTTTCAAAAGGCTTGATGGCAAGAAAAGACGAGATGCTTGAAACCATCGTGCTACTGTCTTATACGGTAAAACATTTGCGCCACAAGCTTCCACTAATCCTCGATAGCATTCTGTTGCATTTTTGCCACGGGCAACCTCGATTTTATGCCACGACCACTGATCACCTTCTGAAAACATGCTTTAGAGCGATGGAAACGAAACTCCTCACTTTAACGCCACGCAACAACTACCCTTATTTATAAGCAGATTGACTGTTTTTTGCACTCTACACATCGCTAACAGCGCCACCTCACAGTTCCCATATCCCATTTGCACATGCCCGCCCTTCTGTGAGTTTCAAGGTTAAGTTGCCACTATTTAATTTACAACCCTCGTATGATTTTTTAATATAAAATAATTTATAATGATAATAATATTAGATACTTATTAGAAGGAAATTACCTGTCAATAAACAAGTATTTCTGATTTTCCGAAAAAAAGTTTTTGATTACTTGAAAATTTCCCACAAAATGGTAAAACATGCAAAAAAGGAAATAAACATTATGGAGCCCAAAATTTTGATTTCTGGAGTTAAAAAGGGATCTAATTTTTCAGAGGAAAAAAAGTACATTTTTGAATCTGAATTTTGTAACTAATTTTATAGTTAGCAATAATAAATAAATTTGGATGAAGTAAATCCTTCAAATCATTAAGATGAATTTAGAATATGGAAATCCAATCAATGGAACAAAAACTATTTCGGTAATTTTTTTAGCTCACTGTACATACACATTAAGTTATTTAATAAAAGTCAAATTTTGTTTTCAAGATTTAGACATTTTTTTCTTATGAATAAGAATTGTTTTTTTCCCTTTTTTTTCATGTAACAAGAGTTTTAATAGTGAGTTAAAGTACCAATTGAGCGTGAGAGTTAGTTGACTGTGAGCTCTGACCGTGATGTTTGTGGTTTTTCTTGATGCTGAGGGCTTTGCCGATTATTTAGTTAAGTCTCACCACCCTTTGAATGTCGTTTTTTGTCTTTTCTTTCTTTCCATCCTCTTTTCAGGTTTTTGCTTAGTATCCAGGGAAAAATCTTGCTGAAGAGTCATGAAAATGGAACAGACTTTATGGCACTTGGGGATTTAACTGTAATGTGGTACTTCTGTGTATAGTTATGTTCAGGCTTAATGAATTTTTAAATACCTAATACCGATAATAAGTAATTTTTTACATTATGTTCCTCTACGGCTCTGTATTGTAATAGAGTTTGTCTCATTACAACTAGACAATAGTTTATTTATGGATTAATTGTGGACATTTGTTCGGCATTATAATATTTTCTGAAAATTCAATTGTTACTGTAATAATTGCATAAGTTAAGTTATAATCCACAACTCAATAGTATTTTAAAAAGAAGTGTACAGGTATCCTTAGATAGGTTAACAATTACTAATAAGCAAATGTGTTAGTATGCACTTCAACAAAGAAAAGAAATCCATTAAGCTTAAGGTAATTAGAGGATATATTAACAAAACATACTTACAGACTTGACAACACTGATCGAAATTGTTGACACTATAGTTAGTTTATCTTCACAATTTAACCATTGAAGACAAGAAGTCATGCCAGGTAATGAAAACTCTCCATCAGAACAGATTAAACTACATACTGTTTTATTTTTAATAATATCACTGTGACATTTTTTAAGCCTCACATTTTCTACAATAATGGTTGATTTCCGAAGATATATAATGATAGCCAGCAAACTGACAATGAAACAGAAGAATATTTGTCTTGCATTCATTCAGTAACTATTTTATTCTGAAAAGGAAAAAAAAAAGTTTAAGTTCCAGAAAAGCTAAAAATGATAATATTTTTTTCAAATGCAAAAGTTACAATTTTTAAGCAAATTGATAGTTTTTCAAAGAAAACACAAAAGAAAGAAGAATAACAAAGATTAAAAAAAAAAGTAAACTTAAAAATTCTGCCATTATTTAATATTATGAAACAGTGCAAGTTCCTGATAAAGTAGTTTATATTCTCATTACTATTTTGTCTCCTATTAGTATATAATACTAAACTAACCCTTTTAAGCAATTTTAAACTCTATTGATGCTCAGTGACAGGCATTAATCACAGAAATTTTATTCATTATTTAGTCAGCATAAATTTATTTTGAACGATTATCCACATGTACATTGAGTTATTATTCATTAGGCAAATTTTTGAATAATGATTAATGAATAAATGTATAAGTCTTGACTAAATTTTCAAAATAATTTTTTGGATAATGGAAGCAAAATAAAAATATCATTTCATTTTCATTGCAAGTTTCATGCACATAGCAGTAATCAATCACAAATTTAATTAATTACATATGATTACATTGTAATCAACTTCTTGTAATCACAATAAGCATTTTTTTCTTGTTTGCTTCTTTTATCTCACTTCCCCATCTCTAAACAAACCAAGCAGATGTTTCCAACCCAGGCAGACGATGCCCCTGTAAGGTGTCAGTGGGATCAATATGCATTTTCTGTTAGAGGGAATGAGTAATTATTCATTATTGATCAAAGGGTTGGACCCTAATATGCGTTGATAAGGCCCTCATTTCAACTCCTTTTTGCTCTCAGTTCAGTTAAAAAAATCCTGCAAACAAGTGTCTCAAATTTAACTATGGCGAGCAGTAAATGTAAAACGTTCTCCATTGATGATAAAATGGGCATAATCAGAAAAATTTAAAATGGATGCAATCAAGCTGACATTTGCAGGGATAATAAACTATCCAAATCTGCAGTTTGTAACATATAGAAAAATAGGCAATTAATAATTTCTGCTCATGAAAAAAGTTTAGATGGCAGAAAAAAGTTGAGAAAAGCAGATCACAAGGATGTTGAAGAAGCATTACTGAAGTGGTTCAAAAATCGAAGAAGCCGCAATCTTCCAGTATCTGGACAAATGTCGATGAATTTGCTAAGCGATTTTATGAGACTATTTTTATGTGTTCGAATGGCAGGTTAGACAGGTTTAAAAAGCGGAATCAAGTAATTTCTTCATATTCATATGATTACAAATAATGAAAACTGCTACCATTATGTTTAATTAACTAGAAATGCAGGAAGCTTTGTATAGTCTGGTTTCTCATTCTTGCTAATGGTCTTTCACCTTTTCAAAATAAAAAAATTAAATTAAACCAGTATTTAAGAATTAGATTCAAGACAAACAAAATTTTTCCTCCTTAATTACATTTACGATACCCAAGTTTCCAGCCTTAAGAAAGGAACTTATACTTAAGAATTAAACCAAAGTGATGTTTCATTCCCGAGCTTCTATGATTAAGAACTTGTACATAAAAAATATGTTATAAATTAAATGTTTATTAAAATTAATGAAATTAAAAAATGCTATTTATGGTTTTAATTTTATGCATCTGTTTATTCGTTCAAATATAAAATTTAAATATATTTACAATTAGTAATGTACAATAACACTATTTCTACAGAGCAGGTATTTATCACACATTAAAATCCTTTACATAATTGAGAGACCATTAAATATAATTAAATTCTTTAAATATTTTAGCAGAAGATACATTTTTTAGCAGAATATACAAAACTAGAATTTGAGCAAACTGATCATATTTTGTTGTTGAAAATAATCTTCAAGGGGAGATCTTAAAATAAATCCAACACATCCAGTCATTTTACAGAAACATCTCTACACAATTCGGTAAAGTGTAACAAAATATGAAAATGGTATGTAGAAAGAGATTTTAATTGTAACAGATTTTATAAAAAAGTCAAAATAAAAAATGAGTTTTCAAATTATGTATTGACTACAAATAGAAAAGGTTTAAAAAATCTGGATTTTTTTCCTCACAAAACTTAAATCTCATGATTACATAATTAACACTCTAGATGAGTTTGGCATTCATACTCAGGAAAGTAAATGCAAAAGTATCTATCATTTTCCATTTAGTGGAGTGCATTTTATGAATAAAAATTTGTGACTCAATGAAATGATGATCCAGTTTAATATAATACAACAACCATCTTTTGACCACAAGAATATACCTGTTTATGAGACCTATGTAAATTAATCATAACAATTATGAAAAATAGCCAGTAACTTGCTCACAAATTATTTATTTAACATGTATAAAACTGATAATATATTTCAGATACATTAAAATGTCTGTGATAGACAGCCAAGAAACAAATCCGAGTCCTTCTGATACTTCAGTTATAATTGAAAATAGAAAGTGCAAACCTTTATTTGGTGGAAATTATTTCAGATTTATATCTCATAAATGCTTAGAAATTTCAACTGTAGCGTAATGCGTGACTGAAATAAGTGGCAACATAACATCATCAATTTCTTAAGTCATCTTGAAAGAAAACACGGGTCTTTACCTTTAAGAGAATACAAAAAATATGCTAATTTAAAAAAGAGGACAGAAAAAAAATCAAGAAAAAATTTCATCAAAAAAATTAACTTGTAATCCTAAGTAAAACAAATAACATAAGCCAAAAAGAATTTGAGAACAAAATTATTAATTTTATCATACATGCAATGGTTCCCTTACAAGTAATTGATAATCCTTTTGTTTTTAAACATTTTTAAGTCTAAATATCTCTGATCAAGGATTTAATCAGTCGGAAAACACGAAGATGAATGTATTGTACGAAAAAACTTAAAAAAAGGCAAAATATTCTAAAAGAAACACAGTATGTTTGTACAACAACAGATATATGGTCAAGAACAAAGAGATTCTTCCTAGGAGTAACAGTGCATTGGATTGCTTCATAGTAGTCAAGAATCAGCGGTGCTAGCTGGCCATAGATTTCGAAACGACCATTGAGCAGAAAATATAATGAAGCTATTGACAAGTATTCATACAGAATATAAAATTACTATTATAAATAATAGATCAAATTTTGTAAAGGCATTTAAAGAGTATGAAATAAAAGAATGGGTTATAGAAAAATATGAAGAGGGTGAAATAAATATAGATAAGTAAGGCAATAGTATGTTTTTAAACACTGATACAGACGGCGAAATTCCTTTACTGAAATTAATATAACAAACAGTGTAAAAAATGAAAAACCAAATCCACAGTTACTATACCTAACCAAACATATAAGATGTAGAGCACACACATCTGATCGCATCTTCCGACTAAATGAAGTGCATCAAATTAGCAAATAGTTTGTGGAGTATGCACATGAATGTGATAAACAAATGCTATGTATTATGAAAAGCAGTAGTTTGCCAAAAATATGAAGAAATTATAATTAATATATTAAGTTTTGCACTTCCAGAGTCGTGTGAAACTCGATGGAATTCACTGTATAATGCACTTAGAAAAATTCTGCAAATAAAATTAAAATTTAGACTTTATTTCAGACTTTAGAAATTTGAATTATTATTTCTGATGAAGAATTCAAATGCATAAAGGAACACCAGGCATGCACTAGGTTTATCACAAAAGCTTTACACCGGGATAAGGTATTCTTTGAAATATAAGTAATTTCATAGTCTAACTAATTAATAGTAAATAATCTTATTATAATTAATAAAATTTGAAATGGAAAAGATGTAAATATTCTTTAAAATGTTTTAAAAGACAGAGAGATTAAAAATAGAAGGAATTGCTAGCTCTTCGAATTTGAATAATAAAATAAATTGAGTAACCCACAATTTCCACTCGAATGTATGAGAAATTTCCGTTAAATTCGCGAAACAATCCCTAAAATAGGAGAATTAAAAATATATAATTTTACAAAATCTGCTTTGATATCAAAGTATCTGAATATGTATTACCTTAATATTACCTCATATAATTTTAATATTTATTATCTTTAAAAGTTTAATTTTGCTAACAGTCATAGATATAAAGGCAGAAAGATCAATCACTCGACCAAACGGACGTCACGGTGAACGTTGACAACACTGGTCTAGTAACCAGTTTGTACTCTATATCCACGCCCTCTAGTGAACTGCGGTTTTGGTTTATTGCAGCTGTACATAATTTGTTCTTTTTTTATTTGATTTATATAAGTTGTAATGATTAATAATAATTGATAACATTTAGTTTCTTTGCCAGAAAAATCTGAAATTCGCAAATTTTATGAAATTTTTTTTTCAGATTTTTTTAAAGATTTATAATTTTTAAATTTTAAAATTAAAAAAAAAAAAAAAAACTAGTATGTTCTTAAAATTAATTCTCTATATCATTCTGAAATTCAAATATTTGAAATGAAATAAAACACACAATTTATGTACTTACGAAAAATAAATAAAATAAAGAGCATTTTAGTAAACATTCCAAGCTAGCCTGTTAGCGTACAATTAGTTTGCTAATAAAGCGTTTTCTTGGTTTTCATTTATGTGTAATGGAAATTCTAATTATTTTCATTCAAAATTTCAAATTTTTTCATTTCATTTACTACAAAAGCTTTTATAAACATGATTTTTCTCTGATATTTAAATTGCAAGTTACTTTGATTTCTG